TTATTTATTCCTTGGCAGTGTGGCTTTTAAGAGCTTTTGATGAGTGACCTCTCTAAATACCTTCCAGAAATCCATGGTCAGGATTCCAGGGTCTATCTCCCTTAGCCACAAGCCTCTTGACCCATAAATGTTTTGATAGAAGTGTGAGGCAGTTCTTCCCTTTACAAAAGCCATTTTGACTCATCTGTATGACAGCACCTTCATGCATATGCTCAGTAATTCTAATCTATCTTCACTTTCCATTGAGTTGCCTGCTATAGACATCAGGTTTATACTATTCTAGGTTTCTTATGGCATCCTTATAAACAAATGACATTACAGCTGGCACATCCCTGTCTCCTGCTGCCACTGCAGTTTTATAACAGAGGATAGTTTGTGGTTCTCCCTTGAAGTCTTTCAGAATTGCTGGTTATACACCATCTGCTCCTTGTGATTTGTTAGTATTAATTCTGCCTGTAAGTTCCATAACCTCTATGTCCCATACCGACTCTTCTAAGACACAATCCCTGCTGAGTCCCCCCATAAAGAAGAGCTGGCTTGGGAATCTCATCCAGCTCTGCTGTAATGAACACAGATATAAAGAATTCATTTAGATTTTCTGTTCTTCTCTCTGTATTTCTTTTAATCTCCCTGGTGCTGCAGACTGTCTGGCAGGCTTCCAGAGCCTGAAGTGTTCAAAAAGGGATTTATTATTAGATTTTATGCCTTATGCAAGTTGTTCTTCAGACCCTTTTGGCCTGTCTCATGGTGTGGTTTACTTTTCATCTGTCACAAGTTTGGATTCTATTTTTGAGTTTAGGACCAAATTTAGGTTTTGGAAGGAGGCTTCTGAAAAGTTGTCCCCAGCAACAGGCTCTTTTGTCCCTCCTGCTAAACCATGACAGATTCCTTTTTCCCTGTATACGCATTTGCCCTGAGCTTCCAACATGGTATCCTTAAAGTCTCCATGTAACCCACAAAGACATAATTATTGTAGCTGCCCCCCCACTTTTAACAAGTTTCTTCATTTTTAGATGGTTTCCTTGGGTTCTTTTCTTTTTTCTTTTTTAAATCAAAGCACAAATTGGTGGATTTTTTTTGTGTGTTTGTCTATAAGGGCTTTATGTAGGGAAGGAAAGGACAAAAGAGACAGAATGTCACTGTGTGATGCAATGGAAAGTGCTCACAGCATCTTAGAACTCTTCCTTTGCCTTCTGGAGGGGTAGATGGAACTGTGTTAAACTGCTGCTTCTGGCTGCAGGGATAGTAACCCCAGTGGCATTTGGAAACACCCAGGAGCAGCTTCTTTAAAAATCAGGAACTCCAAGAAATCCTGTGCACTAAAGGGTATTTATTGTGTGAGACTCATGCTGAACATCTGGACTTGCAGATGATTGGCTGTAGTCCATTTTGTCTTCCTCACCAGGATCTCATTATGGCAGCCTTGCTGTCTTCATGTCAAGGCATCTCCCGAGCAGTGACTGACCTTACTATGACCACTTAAAAATGACTACACTATGATGCCAGCTCAGGACAATATGTTTCTGTTAGCAGATTTATCTCATTTGGCATGCTGGCAATGACAAGTTACAGCTAAGGATTCCCTTCCTTCTGCTTCCCTACCTCATCTCCCATCTCCCTTGAAGGCAAGGCTGTTCACCAGCATCCCTACTGCATATAGGAGAGGTCTGTGACTGTAAGGGCCATGAGTACATCTTCCCCACATCCCTTCCCACCACCATGGGGGGGTTGGATGGTCTCAGTGCCAACTTTTATAAGTAGCTGTCAGGCTTTGAAAGCCTCAGTGGGTGCCTGTCCCTCATTCCTTCCCACACTGCTTTGAAATTCATGCTTTTGTCCTTAGTGTCTGCCTGAACTACACTGCAGGTATGTTTGTGTCTACTTCCCTCTGGTCCTTACCCAGTCTTGACTTCTGGCTTGAGCTGCCCTGTCACTACAGGCCTGTTGCTTGAAGTGTTGGTGAACCTGCTCTGCTCTTCTTGCTCAGGTATTGTGGTATTTGCTGGCTCCCAGCTCTATTTTCCATATGGAGCAGTCAGTCCCTGCTGCTTCCTGATAGTCCTAGTGGTCAGATGGAAAAAAAAAACAGCCACTGAGAAAAGAAATGAGTGATAAATGGCAAAAGTATGTGGAGATAAATATTCTAGCATCATGAAGTACATACAAAACATATAGTTTAATGGAGGGCATAAGATACAGTGGGGATGTCCTTGCCCCTATCCCTGAACTGAAAAGGAAAATTGGCAATGAAAAAAAGACTATTTTGGCCAAACTTAAGTGTAGACACTGAAGTAGTAGTGCTGTGACAAGCATATAAAGCAGTGTTAAAAACCTGTGGCAGTTCTATGTGAATGTTGTGGTCGCATCTCTACAGTCATGACAGAGAATTGTCTGGGAACCTTAACAGTAGCAGGAAAGGCACGCATCACCTCTGAAAGGATGCCACTTTCTTTGCAACCTCAGATGTCCACAATGTTTACACACTGCAAAGCACTTCAAACACACTCAAAATCCGTGGCAAAACATGGATGTTGCCATACAGGTTTGCAAGCTTCCTTTGCGGCAGGGGCAGGAATCTGGCTGCATTTCAAGAGGCAATGTTTCTTCAATAAGCCCACTGGTGTTTTAAGGGCTTTGGAGCCATGAACTTTGCCCACAAGGAGAGGAAGAACTATGCAGCAGGTGGAACTCTGATGCCAGAATTTCACCAGGGGAGTGTGGAGGGCAGAATGCAGACACTGTGCAGCAGTGCCCCTGATGTGTCCTTCTGCAGAGATGTGGAACCCCAGACTGGTTTGGGTTGCAAGGGACCTTAAAGCTCATCCAGTTCCAACCCCCTGCCACAGGCAGGGACACCTTCCACTAGACCAGGTTGCTCCAAGCCCCATCCAACCTGGCCTTGAACACTGCCAGGGATGGAGCATATTGTTACTAATGCCTCAGTTTCCTATTTTTTTCAGCAAACAGTTTCTATGTGACAATCACAATGCATATTGTCTGTATATCTCAATGTTATGGATTACTGGAGGCTTTTTTCGGTGGAAAAGCTGTCCATTTCAATCTTCTGGATACTTCTGTGGATTTCTAGAGCTGTATTTCTAGTCTGTTTTAATAGGTGATAGTACAATCCCTCTATATGTAGATGAAGGCTTTCGTTATCTGAACAGCAACTCTTTTGCCCAGCACTTTCATCTGTCAAATGAGGAGTGATTCCTGAGGTTGATAATGGCGTAAGAACAGATGTTGTTTCACAAATAGCAGGAGACCTTTTTCAATGAAAGCCAGATCTTGGAAGACTGACTTCTGAATGTGTACTTAATTTGCAGCGTCTGGAAAGATAAGCAGCTCTGTGAGGACGGTGGAGCCACGCTGCAGCACAGAACTGCTCTGGTACGGTAACCATGGCACTGCAAACCTCTGCGGGGAGGTGTGATCACACCATGGCTCAGCACCGGGGCTCCAGCCTGCAGCACCACACAGCGTGCGTTCTGTGGAGCATGGGAATCCTGGTGTGGGCTTCCCAACTGAGGCTTAAGCTCCAGTACTCATCTGGGATGACAAGAGTGTGGCTCCCTAGAGCACTGCAGGATGCCATATATCCCTGATGACACATCCCTCCTTTCTGCCCTATGCATCTCTCTTACGTAGTGCCCTGAGCCAGGCTCTGGAATGCCGCCAGCGCTCAAAGCCCATGTCAGGGAAAGGCTGCAGCCGTCAAGCTGTGTCAGAGCAGCCCTGCAGAGGACTACTTAGGGGTGTTGTTTGATGAGAAACTGAACATGACCTGGCTTCAGTGAGCTGTTGAGCTCAGAACCCCGCCGTGTGCTGGGCTGCATCAAAAGCAGCATGAGCGGCAGGTCGAGGGAGGTGATCCTGCCCCTCTGCTCTGCTCTCGTGAGACCCCACTTGCAGCACTGTGTGCAGCTCTGGTGTCCTCTACATAAGGACATGGAGCTGTTGGACCAAGTCCAGAGGAGGCCACAAGGATGATCAGGGGCTGGAGCACCTCCTGTATGGAGACAGGCTGAGAACATTTGGGCTGTTCAGCCTGGAGAAGAGAAGCTGCATGGAGACCTCAGAGCAGCTTCCAGTGTTTGAAGGGGGTACACTACAAGAGAGACATTGAGGTGCTGGAGCGGGGCCAGAGAAGGGCAACGGAACTGGTGCAGGGCCTGGAGCACAAGTGTGATGGGGAAGGGCTGAGGGACCTGGGGGGTTCAGTGTGGAGAAGAGAAGGCTCAGGGGGGACCTGATCACTCCCTACAACTGCCTGACAGGAGGTTGTAGTGAGGTGGGGTCGGTCTCTGCTCCCAAGGAACAAGGGACAGGACAAGAGGAAACGGCCTCAAGCTGCACCAGGGCAGGTTTAGATGGAGCTGAGGAACAATTCCTTCCCCAGAGGGTGCTCACGCATTGGACCAGGCTGCCCAGGGCAGGGCTGCAGTCACCATCCCTGCAAGTGTTCACACAGCGTGGAGACGAGGCCTCAGTGCCATGGGTTAGTGGTGGCCTTGGAGTGCTGGGAACAGTTGGACTGGATGAGTTTAAAGGGCTTTTCCAGCCTGGTTGATTCTGTGATTCTATACAAGGATGCTGGAAAGGGACTCTTCCTCCAGGACTGTAGTGATAAGACAAGGGGTGATGGGTTCAAACTGAAACAGGGGAAGTTTAGATTTAGCTTTTCCCTGTGAGGGTGCTGAGGCGCTGGCACAGGGTGCCCAGAGAAGCTGTGACTGCCCCATCCCTGGCAGTGTTCAAGGCCAGGTTGGACACAGGGGCTTGGCGCAACCTGCTCTAGTGGAAGGTGTCCCTGCCCGTGGCAGGAGTTGGAACTGGATGAGCTCTGAGTCCTTTCCAGCACACACCACACCACACCACACCACGTCCCTATGACTGCCAGCACACAGCATCACTCCCGTCCCGCCGCTGCCTTTCCCGCCCTCCGCAGCCCCTCAGCGCACTCCCGCCTTCCCGCCCGCTCAGAGCCCTCCTGCGCCTGCGCGCGCGTAACACCGCTCCCCAAGGGGGGCGGGCAGTGTTGGGGGGGGAGTGAGCTGGCGGCGCGCATGCGCGGCAGGCAGGAAGCCGGCCCTTGGGGAGGGGGTTGCGCTGGCATGGCGGAGGCGCGGCCAGGCGCAGGTAAGTGTGGCCGCTGTGCTCGGAGGAGCGGGCAGGATGGTTGCGGAGGGGAGGAGCGGCTCATCGCCCCGCAGTCTGTCGGGGAGAAGGTAGCGCCGTGCCGGTCGAGCGAGCGCTGCTGTGTCGTGGGGCTGCAGGGCTGCGGCACCGACACCACCACCACCACCACCACCACCACCTGTTGCCGCCGCCCCCTCCCCTTGGCCCGCCGCAGCCAGAATGTCTGGGCCGGTCTTGGCGGCGAGGGGGAAACTTTGCCTGAGGAGGGACGTGCGAGCTTCGGTGTGTGACGAACGAACCCAGCGAGGCGGTTGGCGTCTGGAAAAGTTCACCGCGCTGTGCCCACCCGCATCCGCGGAGCCCACACGCAGCCTGACGTGTCCCAGCCTGCGGGCTGCAAGGGGATGGCGGCGGGGCCGGGGGTCTGGGCAGGCAGGAGGTGGCTGCTGAGGCAGGTGCCACCTCACCTGGCCGCAGTGGGCAGGTTAAGCTTTAAGCTGATAGAGGGAGATTCAGGTTAGGTGTAAGGAAGGAATTCTTCCCCGAAAGGGTTCTGAGACGCTGGCACAGGGTGCCCAGAGAAGCTGTGGCTGCCCCATCCCTGGCCGTGGGGGCTTGGAGCAACCTGCTCTAGTGGAAGGTGTCCCTGCCTATGGCCAGGGGTTGGAACTGGATGATCTTAAGGTCCTTTCCAACCCAAACTAGTCTGGGATTCTGTGATTGAAGCTTAGATGGTCTTAAAGGTCCCTTCCAACCCAGACCAGTCTGTGATGTAGGCAGGGGCTCACGGGTAGAGAGCAGTTTAGGAACCCAACCTGGATTGGGGTTGAACATCACAAGTGCAAGAAGGATTTTATTTTTTTCATTTATTCTTTTACCTGCTGGCTTTTATGATGCAGGTCCAGGTTAATTTTTGCTTTACCGTGTGTGGCTGTTGTTGAGGAGGAGAGGGATTAGCTTTTCAAGATCTTTATTCCAGCCTTGCATTTAATGAGTTATCATGTACTATGGGTATTTAATGATAGAAGAACCATTATGTAACTGTGACTTGAGCTTGTAACTAGAAATAACATGGTTGCCCAGAGTCCTTTATAATATTTCATATTTTCAGCACATCTCTTAATTTTCTTGTAGTCTGGGTAGACCTCTCAGGTAATCAGTGTCACTTTGGGATCACCTGAGGAGCTAACTCATTTCACTGTTTCTAGAGTCATTAGGTTTCTGCCTGGAAGAATCCTTGTCTTTTATGGCTGGGATGAAGAAAATATGAATCTCTACTTTTGCAGCACCCTGATGTTAATTCAGATAATGTTATGATTAGCCTATATCTTAAATAGCATCCTCTGCCTCTTCTCTCTGCTTGACAGCTGCCTTGTGGGAAGTGGAATGGCCTGGGACATGGTTCAGAGAGTAGAGAGTGATAGTTTCAGTTAAGAGAAGCTGCTGCAGGAAGCTGATGCAGGCAAATGTCTGCTTGTCTGTCTGCTGTGCTGTGAGGCTGCAAGTCGACTCTGGTCCTGAAATGTTTATACAGCGTATATGTATTGGAATAAAGGGTCTTACATAGGTGTACTGAGCTAAAAATAGCTTTGCTGACGATGATCAGCCTGGATGATACACCATTTCTACCATTTGCTTTACAGTACTTAAGCTCACGCAGATATTGTCATATTGTCCTGGAGCTCATTACTTGTTATTGTAATCCATACTATGTTATGAGGAGCCATCTCATATGTAAGCTTCAAATTTTGCTTGTACAACATTAAGATGGGAACTGACTTTTCCTCTGCAACTCCATGGGCAGACTGAGCATATGACTGTGAGCTTAAATATGAAAGGTATTTCTGTTCTCAGGGTAGATCTGGGGAGCAGTTGGGGTTGAGGAGTGACAGTTTTAGGTCATGGCAGATGTGCAGCCTGTCTGGGATATTTTGCCAGTGGTGACTGATTGTTGAGAATAGAGTAATGAGTATAAGAGACAAAGGGGAAGAATATAAGAAATAGGGCAATGCTAAACTAGTTATTCACATTGCTACACCTTTCTAGTTTCTAGCCCTATGCATCTAGAAGGGACAGGTGGCATTTGTATTTAATCATAGAATCCCAGGCAGGTTTGGGTTGGAAAGGACCTTAAGATCGTCCCCATGGGCAGGGATGTCTCACACTAGACCATGTTGCCCAAGGCTTTGTCCAGCCTGGCCTTGAATGCTGCCCGGGATGGAGCATTCACAACTTCCTTGGGCAACCTGTGCTACCGCCTCACCAACCTCACAGGGAAGAACTTCTTCCTTATATCTAACCTGAACTTTGAACCCATCACCCCTTGTCCTAGTGCTATAGTCCCTGATGAAGAGTCCTTCTCTGGCATCCTTGTAGGCCCCACCTCAGGTAATAGCTATTAATGAGAATGAGTATTTTCTTTTGTCCCATCAGTTTCTGTAAGTGCTGCTGAATGTAGTTTTGGGGTTTGCCTGCATGATGACAGCTGAGTCATTAGACATGGTATAATGTGCCTAAACTGAAGGTATCAGGGAGTTGCTATGAAGCATTGAGTACCCCACTGTAAAGGTGAACAGGAAAGTGAAAACTTGTAATATGTTTGTTCTCCTTATGCAAAATCCATTCTGTAGTAGATGCTTCTCCTAGGATGATGAAATTACATATAGCAAAGTTGTAGTTTTTTCCTTACTTGTATATTTCTCTTGTATCATCTTGAAATGGGTTAGCTAAAACTTCATGTTCTCTTCAAAATCTGGATGCGCTGAATTTGGACAGTAGCATAAAAACCCCAAAACATAGCACTGTGCACCAGTATACCCAGGGGGTAACTGGCTGGGAAGCAGATCTGCAGATAGAGAATTTAGGGTCCTTGGTGGACTATAATCCAACCTCCCTGTTCATTCTTCCTCATAAGGAAGCTGTAGACAGCAGTCAGGTCACCCCTCAGTCTTCCCCATGCTGAACAAAGCTAGTATTCTTAGCTGTTCCTCTGGAGTCGTGTCTTCTAGTCCTTTCACCATCTTTTTAAACCCTTTTGGGATGCATTGTAATATTTTTATATCCTTTTATTGTGGAGCCCAAAACTGCACACAGTACTCAACTATGTTTGTTTGATTTTATGGCTGTCTCACTAAGAAATGGTCAATTAAGAAATAAATGCTTGTCCAATAATCGGTGGTTATTTATTTCTTCTGTCTAGGAGATAGAGCTGAATTCATTTAAGAATATGGAAGTACTGCCTCTGACACCTAAGGGGCTACCAAGTGGACTGTTGTACCCTTTAGTATAAGTTAGGGTTGGAAGGGACCTTAAGATCATCCAGTTCCAACCCCCTGCCATGGGCAGGGACACCTTCCACTAGACCAGGTTGCCCCAGGCCCTGTTCGGCCTGGCCTTGAACACTGCCGGGGATGGAGCATTTACCACTTTCCTGGGCAGTCTGTGACAGTGCCTCAGCACCCTCACAGTAAAGAACTTCTTCCTTATATCCAACCTGATCTTCCCCTGTTTCAGTTTGAACCCATCGCCACTTGTCCTATCATTGCAGTCCCTGATGAAGAGTCCCTCTCCAGCATCCTTGTAGCTCCTTTTAGACACTGGAAGCTGCTCTGAGGTCTCCACACAGCTTCTCTTTTCCAGGCTGAACAGCCCCAGTGTTCTTAGGCTGACTGCATATAGGAGGTACTCCAGCCCTTGAGCATCCTTGTGGCCTCTTCTGGGTTTGCTCCAACAGCTCCATGTCCTTCTTAAATTGAGGGTACCAACACTACACGCAGTGCTGCAAGTGGGGTCTCATGAGAGCAGAGGGGCAGGATTGCCTCCTTCGGCCTGGCTGGACTTCTTCAATATAATTTCTTTTTGTCTTTCTTAATTACAAACTTTATACAGTCTCGGCCTAATTAAAGTACATTGTTTAAAGGCTTTTCAAAATGTAATTGAATGTAGCTTGCTGAAACTGTGCTAAGAAATGTCACTTAAACATAGTGGCTGTTAGTGGCACCTTCAAATGGCATTATTGATGTGTTCATAAAAAAAGTACCTAAGTTAAGTCTGGCTTTACTAGTCCATAAAATAAGCTGGTTTTGAAGCAGAGCTTGTAGTGATTAAAATGAGATGTGTACTTACTAATTTGCTTTGTATTTTTAAAAGTGGGCTTATCAAATGTTTTTTCTGAAGGACAGTTCACACAGACTACCTAAGCTTGCCAAGGCATTTTGTCTCTCTCCATAGTTAATGCCGAGGGGGTGTAATATGCAATGTTGTGGCAGAACAGACTTGAAACCATGTAAGTTTCATATGTTTGGTTTTAATTCACATTTGAGCTCTTAAGGATATTAAAATCTGCAATGCAGAGGTTGTTTCTAAAGGTACTGAGATTTTCTTTGTTTATTGTATAGACAGGCTGGAATCTTGCTTTGGAGGTTCCCTTTTGGGATTTTTGTGTATGTACATGTAAACATGTCAGAGGAAATTTGAGCCAGTGTTAGCTACTGATTATTACACTTGTATGTGTATTTTGCAGTTACTTGTCTTGGCAGACAGAAATTAAGTCTTAGTAGAATTTACCACTTTGGTTTTTTTTTTTTCATAATGTAAAAGCTGACAGTAAGAACAGGAATCCTATTCATGGGTGATATAAAAAGTCCTAATGAATTATTCATATTTTGGAGGTGCTTTTAAATAGCTGAATCCCGATTTCCCATCTGTTTCTTCAAACTTAAGAGATTACTTGGAAAGGGCTTTCAAAAATATCTCTTCCACGGCTGTATTTCAAGTCCTGATTATGCTTCTTGGAGGCCACGTGCAGAAGTTAATTTGTATTTTAGAAGCCCAGCATTTTAAAGCCATGTCCAGCAAATTTTTATGTCAGTATCAGATAGTGTTACTGATCTACAAGAGAAACTTCCTCAAACTTATTTCCTGCATTCATTTGAAAGCCCTTTGCAGCAATTTGTTTGTAATTCATGCATACATTTTTACATACCACGTTTCATAACCAAAGAAACCTTGGTCTTTAATAACAGAATGTACTTTTCAGAGGCAAGCTGTGTGATATTTGCAAAACATGTTTTTATGAAACATTAAGAAGCCAGTTGGTTTCCCTTGTATCTATCTTTAAATTTTAAATTAAAAATGAAATTTTAAACTTTAAATTTTAGGGTATCTGAAAGAATTCTTAAACCAGCAAATGAAATGGATTGCTTCTAATTTAGTTGGTATGTAATTACGGGATGGCAACCTGTCTTCAAATCAAAATATGTGAGACTGTGTTAAGTAATCTATACTGAATGACTGTTGCTTACATTATAGTGTTCTTCATTAGTGATAGGAAAGAAACTAGCGAAACATTGGAAAAACTGAAAGTGTAGTTCTGAGAAGTAAAAAGGACAACTTTATATTTTGAGTTCTTTACGCAGAATACATGTGCTAACACGAGAAAAATAGATTGCTTCCAGGGAAGCTGCTTGCAGTCCAGGTTTTCAGATGTATAAGCCTAGTATTTTGTACGTACTAGGGTCTACACTCCTTATGATAGAATAGCTGAGCTGGAAAGGACCTGCAGTGATCGAGTCCAACTTCCTGACAAAAAGTTAAAGCATATTATTAAGGGCATTGTCCAGATGCTTCTTAGACACTGACAGGCTTGGGGCATTGACCACCCTCCTGGTAAAGGAATGTTTCCTTCTGTCAAGTCTGAACCTCTCCTGATGGATGCAGCTTTGAGCCATCCCCGTGCACCCTGGCACTGAACACCAGGGAGAAGAGCTCAGCACCTCCCTCTCCATTTCCCTTCTCTTTGCGTTAAGGTTGATTCTTAACTCAATCCCAAGCAGTTCTGAAAGGCCTCTGTCTGATGTTCTCATTCTGCTGTCTCAAAATCAGGTTAGTGTTACAGCTTAAAAAAACGCAAACACACACTTTAGCGTTTGCTCTTTATATCTAGTGTGGTAATATAGAATTGCATATAGCATAAAATGTACTAGTACACTGTCACATTAATAACACATACTATATTATAATACTATTATCTATTAGTATATGAAATAAAAATAGTTATATATATTGTCTTTGCAGAGACCAAACCCCAGAATGATTTCAACTGAGTCTCTCTTTAAAAAGTATGAATTAGGTTATGTGGTTAAGAACATGCTTAAATGTAATTTTAAGTTCCTAACTCTTAGAAAACTTAAAGGCTCACTTCCACAGAGTTGTATGTTATAGTTTTTTCTTTGGCCTCCAAATCCGTCATAGTAGTTGTGACTGTTCCTAGAGGTTTAAAAAAACTTTCATTTGAAAGTAAGTGAAATTCACTGAAAAAATATGTTAATGTTTTGGAATGTCCTGGTTTGTTCTTCCCTTCGTTATTGAAAAGGTAAAATAATAGGTAGAGAGTGCCTATTATTTTAATGCTGCTTCAAATGTTTTCCCGTATCGTATGTTTTTATGCTCTTATATTAACTCTGTGTCATTCTGTAAAGACAGCAAGAGAAGAGAAGGTCATGTCCAGAAAGCACTGTACGATTTGACTCTAGTTTCTGTAAACTTGTTTGCAGTTGTTCTGTCAAGTGTGGGATTGATTTCTCTTCTGGGCCTTTGCAGGTATAGTAGTTTTGCTGCAAAGAAATCATAGAATCATAGACTGGTTTGGCTTGGAAGGGGCCTTAAAGCTCCTCCAGTTCCAATCCCCTGCCACGGGCAGGGACACCTCACACTAGACCAGGTTGCTCCAAGCCCGGTCCAACCTGGCCTTGAGCACTTCCAGGGATGGCACAGCCACAGCTTCTCTGGGCACCCTGTGCCAGCGCCTCAGCACCCTCACAGGGAAGAACTTCCTAATGTCTAATCTCAGTCTCCCCTCTGTCATCTTAAAGCCATTCCCCCTTGTCCTGTCACTATAGGCCCTTGTAGTGTTTCACATGTAATAGTCTTTTACACATCTTTATTTTTTCACTTTTTAGGTGCTTTGAATTTCAATCCTGATGCTGCTAATTCCATTCCAGGAGAAAGGCAACCTACAGATATAAACTGGGCCAACAAAGATAGAAAAGATTCCAGCAGTAATCTGAATAGAAGTAATTTACCATTTCCTAGTCTGTCTTCTGAAAGAGGTACAGAGTATGAAAGCTCTTCTGCAAAGCATCATGGCATTTGTAGTCCAGAAAGTCAGTATGGGAATCCTGAAGACTTTCACCGGTATTTTGGTAATAGTAAAAGTCTGAAGAACCGCAACTTGCAAAGCCAGAGATGGCACAGATCAAGAAATGACAGCGCATGTACTAGAAGTAAGATAAAGCCAAGTACTGCTGATGCTGCTGCAGGTCCGGGAGTTTCAGATGCTGCAGTGGTACCAGGGAGAAGAGCACCTGCTAGAGGATACAATGACTTTGTCTCCTCAGAGAGTGACAGGGAAGTACCGAGTGCTGATAGCAGGGGAGCAAAGCCAAAGAAAACACACCTGATGCATGTATCTGGAAGAGGTTTCAGGGAGAAGGCAAAGCAAGTACATGACCGGGAAAAGAGAGTGAGCTCTAAACAGAAAGTAGAGCTGTTTGAAAATGTTCCATCCTTGGATTTGACTCAGTCTGACTCTTCAGAATCATCTGTTGGAAAAGCATTCTGTGATGCCCCTGTTGGTGGTGTGGATGAGCAGAAAGGCTACAATTACGCAAACAAAAGATATCCTAGGAAGCCTGTGTGGAATAAACCCCCTGCAGAAAAAGAGTGTCAGAAAAGACATGATTCTCACCGTAGTAAAAATACAAAAGTAAGTAAGAAGTCTTCTCTTGCATATACTCCAAAAGATAAAAATGAAAGGAAGAAAGAACTGTCTGTTCACAGAAATGATGAAACCTTGACGAGTGATATCAGGCATCAGTTGTCTGATTCTGTCAGATGTAATGGAAGAAAGTTCCTTCTAAAGGGGGATCAAGCACCTGCACTTCATTTCAGCTGGACCCAGTACTGGAAAAAGCAAAGTGATGTACCAAAAAACAAAGAAACTCATACAGGTAAGCTTTCTAGACTGTCCTGTACTTCTGTATTAAAGATATGATCATGAATAATTTGAACTGCCTTCACATTTGACCAGCTAAAGAGGCTTATTTCACATTAGGTCAGTATCTGAGGGTAGAATTACATGTAAATGTTTGGTTTCTGAGTGGTGAGATGTTCTGTTATGTTTACTAGGGAGGAACAGATTTTGTTTAAAGGTGGTTTGGTTTGGTTTTTGTTTTGTTTCACTACCAAACTGCAGTTGGTGGAGTGGTCAGGCACCATGTTAAAACATGTATGTTGGGGGAGCCGGGGAGTCAAATTCTGAGCCTACTGAACAAGGGGACTTGAGAGGGACAATCCTAAAACTGATATTTGCAGAACAGTTTTCTCATGTTTTGGGTAAAAGTAGAATGACAGATAGAAGAACTGTGTTCTCCTCCTAACTGGTTTGTTTTTTGTTCTTTTTTTTTTGCAACGTATCAAAAGATAGTAAGAGAAAGTGTCTGGAAACTGGTCTGTTTTTTTTTTTTTTGTCCTTTTCCAGTTGAACCACCCAGAAATCTCAGCCTTATCTGTACTGCCCAGAATGGTAGAGACAGGTAGACTAGTTCCTGTCTGAACTGTGGTATTGAATCTTCTGAAGATTGTGCTTCTCAGTGTCTCTTCATTTTCAGAGCTGAGAAAGTAGTAGCATAATCAGGAAGTGTAATGTTGCTTCAGGTAGTAACTTTGTTCCTTTAGGAGAAAGAAGCTCAAGGATCAAGGTTCTCCTTGAGCCTTTCTAATGCAAATACAGTAACTTTCGTGCTCCTGGGTTCTACTTGAATCATAAAAATATCTCAGTCTTTCTCCCATCATTATTATTATGACATGGAAAAGGTCAAATGCAGTAAGTGGGAAGAGAAGTAGCAGTCTTTTGCAGGGCACTGAAGGAACTTCCTCTAAAATGGCAGTATGTCTTTGTATGCTTTAGTTGGGAGCTGTTTTGCAAACATATCTGCCACTGTTTTCAGGGGACTGAGTCTGAGTCTTTGTGGGACAGCTGTTCTTTCTGAATACTGACAAGATAGCTTTAGTCTTCTGGAGAAATGGAGTCTGGTTTAGATAGGGGTGCTTTCTTTGTGCTTTGGGCTTGCTTTCAGTCATGTGTGTTATGAACATGTTTTGAATTGATAGTAATTTTTCTTCTGTTATTTCCATATTTTTTTGTCCTTCATTATGAGTTCTAACTTCCTTTGTGTTGGCACTGTGTAAAAATGGTACGTTTTTACACTTCACACTTAAGATCTTTAAAATTCTGCAGGCATAGATCAAATAGTATTTAAAAGGTGTATCTGATTGCCTTACCTTGATTGGAGAGTCAACTTCAGTTCTGCCAGACTGTGTGGTGCCTTTGTTACAGTTGCACATCTAACTCTGTTGTCAGACTCTTTTGTCTTTCATGTGTGGAGTACTTGCTTTGTTTTCAGAGTACTTTTTCGTGTTCTTTCATATGGCTCAAAGGCCCTGTACTTTGACTATTCTTTCCCAGTAATTCCACTTCTAAAGCAGTCAGTTTATGAGGGACTTATTTTTGTAATCCAAGTACTTCACTGTTAATATTTGTTGTGTGATCTCTCAGGAATACTCAAGGATGGGAATTTAATTTTGGCTGAATCTTCCATAGTTAAGAGCTTTAAGCTTTTGAGTTTAAACTTTAGGCGAAGATAAATTTCCCATAAAAAGTGATGAGTAAAATCCCAAACTTCTGCCAAGCTTAAAACCATTAACAAATTTGGAAGATTGGAATGATTGTTATTCCTCAACAGGGATTACTCTTGCCACTTTTGTGGGAATCTCGTACTTGCTTTTCCTGTTCTAAAACTAGAAAAATGCTTATCGGGTTTCAGACCGGAATCTTCGCGGAGTAAACTAGTATCTTGCTTATAGCCATACAGGAAAAAGAAACCCTGTTATAGTTTAAATGAAATGAATTTCACTTGTATTTTGTTTCTCAGCTAGCTGATGTTTCATGTATAAGTGTTTTCTTTGCAGGGTCATTGATTGAACAGCTGACCACAGAGAAGTATGAGTGCATGGTATGCTGTGAGGTGGTCCGAATAGTAGCCCCAGTGTGGAGCTGTCAGAATTGCTACCATGTGTTTCACCTGAACTGCATTAAGAAATGGGCACGATCACCAGCTTCACAAGCTGAAGGTTGGTATTCTCTTGCACACACTTCCTCTCTCAAATACATATAATAGCAAAATTTGTGTTTCTTATGTTGGAAAACTACTTGTAAGTACTGTCTGTGGTAACAAGTAAGCTGTAAACAAAGGAAATTTTAATTACTTGGTTCTTCTTCCATGATTCTTTAGGTGCTCTGTATTATCTTCATAACTGTTTTGATTCTTTCTAGTGTTATAGCTAAAACTAATTTTCAGGTTTGGAAGCATAAGTAAAAGATCACTCAATGAAACCAGTGCATCGAGATGCAAAGCTTTGTGGCTGTGTTTTTGCATGCCAAGAAGTGTCTCATCTTTGCTCATCTGTTCTTGGCTGAGCAGTCAAACAGAAGCAGTACTCCAGGCATCAGTTGCCTGCTTTTACTCTTGGTTCTCTTCTCAAATAAAGCACTACTGAAATCCGTCACTGGTGCCATGCAGTGAAATGAAATTCAGAGAAGACAGAAAGCTTCTGCCTTTGTCATTAGCTTAAACTGTTTCAGATTCTTTGTATTAGACCACTTTTTGAATATCTGATACCACTACATTCTGCCCTGTGAATGCTTTGGTGTAAGTTAAAGCTGAATTGCAGCCTTCCCGCTGTGTTCAGTTGTTTTATGTGAACGCACTGAAGATTGTAATGTTCATCTTGAAGTAGAGTTAATTTTTTTTCTGGACCCTGCTTGCTTAGCATTTACCAATCTTCATGTGTCTGTTCGGGCATACTTGGGTGGGAAGAAGCAAAGAATTATCCCATTATAACAAAGACTTCTTGCACCCTGCAGTATCTCTCTTCTCGGGGTATCTTTCAGATGTGTTTTACTGAAGGTATCTTCCCTCAGAGACTTATTTGTCTTCTATTGTCTTGGTCATTTGAAAAACTAGTTTGGCCAAGCCAGGTCAAAGAAACTCTTGATTATCTGTGGGGAGTCATAGGGTATTTCTGTATTCTTGGCTCTTCTTATATTAGACTTGTGATTGACATCCAATGTTTGATATTTCCACAGTGTAGACTATCAGCAGCACTAAGAAGTAGAGAGTGGGTTTTCATTGTGTGTTAAAAGATGTCCAGGTCAGGAGAAGGAAGGGGTCTGCTAGGCATGACCTTGCCATCATGTGGAAAAATCCTTTCCTATAAGGAAGAACATCACTTTCTCCTTAGCAAGCATTTTCTACTAACATTTTGAATTATGTCTTGAAGGAATGTGACCTTTAAATATTGCACAGCTAAGGTCAATCTGACAAAAACACTTGCACTGCACACATCTTTGTTGTGTTTATAAAGGGAAAACTGTTGTCTGTTGCCACCTTTCTTTTAAAATCTGATGCTTCAGTGGTGTTTGAGTTGCGTACTTACATCGATGGGACAATATACCCCTTACAGCCATCTACTTCCTTCTTTGTGGATGGTTTTACTTGTATTTGCATTTTGGCTGGAAGGATTGGAGATATATGAGTTACAACAACTCTTTCTATTCTGCTTCCTCTGCTCCCCTTGCTGTCCACTTCCAGATTAGACAGTGGTCTGTACCAGTATTTGTCTCTAAAATGGATTCTGAGCTTCAGTGGTCAGAATATGAATCTACTTGCCTCTTTTTTTCTTTTTCCCCTTTTTTTCCTTAAGCCATGCTACTTAAGGGCTGAAGCCATTCTGTGTGCCTTGGATTTTACACAAATATCACTTTTCTGTTACTGGGACAAAAGCTTTTGATTTTGTCTAGCTGAGAAGTCAAAGCAGTAATTTATTTTCATGCAGATTATCTGTTTGGAGAACTGCTTAAGACCGTCTTAGAAATGGTAGGATGAAACTACCAGTGTTGATTCAAGCATAGTCTACACAGTTGAAAGTGATTGAAATCTTGTTTGAAATTCTTCTTATGTACCTAGCATTGTATATATGTGGAAAATTCCTGCCATACTGCTGCCTTTGGAAATGCAGCCTTCTAGCATTCGCTTTATTCTAGCAGATGTGTCTGGATCCTTTCTTATGTAATTACCTGTGACTCATCTAGGCAAGCATGTAAAGAGGAAGGTTGCTTGTTTGAAACTGCACATAAAGATCTCTAGTCTATATATATAATTCCCAGCTCTTCCTACTCAAGGTTCTTTTGAGCCTTTTAATCCTTTAGGATGCTGGAAACTGAGGAGGTGGTTCACTGTACCTTTATGACAACAGGGATGCAGGAAGGGGCAGGGTTCTGGGCATGGTACCAAAGGTAAATATAACTGTCCTTTCGATGTCTTTGGTTGGAAGTCTGCGTACTTGGATCCTATTAATGAGAAGATTCATGAGAGTGGAATGATCATTCTGTAGGGTCATCCTCATCCCCACTTTCTTCAGTAATCAGGATTTGGGAGGAGTGGTTACAGGACTGTAATGTAGATGTCAGGAGTCACCCCACCGTCATTCTACCCTACTGTGATTGCATCTGAATCCACAAAGAAAACTTATTTCTAGAGGAAAGCAACTGTGCACCCACCTTGTGGGTGGATCCACATGCCCTTCTTAGAGGAACCAAGGATAATCAGTGATTGAGAAGAACAAAATATATCTTGAAAGTCTGTGTTGCTTGGTAAAAGGTTCCTATTTTGCAAGGAGAGAAACTTTTGTTGGTAAAGGACTCTTGCTCTGGTTATGCTGCTCTGGGAGAGACGTTGATAGAAGAGGCCTTCTTCTGGCCTCCTGAAGCTTTAGGATAGGCTTACATTGAAAAGGGTAACATAGAATAACAGTGAAAGAAATAATGTTGTTAATTCAATAGTGAAGTATATTTTACAAAGTAATCCCATAGGGAATCTGTTAGGGTTTACTATGCTAGCTTTGGGAGTGACCATGTAAGATGCTGAAAGCTTTGTCAGCAGATACCCCTTTCAGTTTCCTGCTGCCATTTTTTACCTGTAGCTTTTAACACTTCTCTCTGAGATGCTTTCATTTGTAGCAGTCAAATAAATAAAGACATCTTGGTCAGGAAATACAGATTGGTTTTGATCATAAAGATGGGAGCATACTCCTTGTGCCACTGTCATACAGCTGTTCAGCCCATAATTGTATAGCTCTCTGCCACTCTTGGTGGCACAGTGATAGAAGCCAGGATGAGGAGGGGTATGAATAGGCACCAACTGAAAAGAACAGATGTGCTTTAGATTTGCATTTCAAGAGTGGCAGAGCAAATTATCACAAACTGCTGAACACCAGGACACCAGTTTGTGAAAATCATTACCAGTGTATGTTATGATGGTTAATGCAGGACGCCTCCAGTCGTGGTGATAGCAGGTGTAGGTGTGCCTGTCATTGCAGTGCAGTGGTTGTGTCACATAGGGTTTACTGTTTGGAATTCTTGCTGCATTCATAATGTGAGAACATCATAAATCTCAATCAAATTTCTTAATAGCAAAGAACAGTTCCAAAATCACAGCTTATTAATTTACCAGCACTGATTGAGAGAGTAAGAGCTAATCAGTTTATAGATATTTTTATATCTATCTGTACAGATACAAAAATCTCTCCCCCTTTGTGTTCAGTAGTGATCTTATACTTGGTATTCTTCATAGCCAGATATGTACTGAATTTAGGAAACATCTTCATGAACATTATATTCCTTACACTGAAGTTCTTCCTTTACTGCTAACCAACCCCCTCCTGAAATGCAGAAACAAGAAAACTACCATTTAATAAAATACCAACTTGAAGAATAATGTCCTAGTCAATACCTAGGTATTGTCACCTTGAAATTAATTAATTAAAGTAGATCATTCGGATTTATATAGCGCCAGTTTATTCCGGACATGAAGCAATACTGAATTGGTCTTCGACAAGACATGTAAGCTTGTAATATTGGAGGATAATGAAAAGGAATATGCAGGTGGTGCTTAAGACTGTAGGTAATTATATTTTTCTCACCACTTTCCCACACTTCAACATGTTCTCACATCTTCAAATATGGTAAAGGCTTTCTGTATTCTAGTAGAATGTCTTATAACGCGATAATAGAAAAAGTGGAATTGTTATACTGCCTCTATATGAAGTTGGAGCCTGGTCAGATGAAGTAGTGCTATCTCTTAATACAGATAAAATGCATTTTATTAACCTGCTTTCTAACAACTTCTGGTTTGGTTGCAGCTGTGGTAAGAAACAATGTGAGAGCACTTACTCCAAGCTTGCAAATGAGCTCCTTTATTTACTTCAAGTAATATTTATCCTTATTTCTTTTACCTGCAGATGGCAATAGCGGTTGGAGATGTCCAGCTTGTCAGAATGCTTCCATGCAAGTTCCTAAAACTTACACTTGTTTCTGTGGTGAGTTTCTTGCTTTTGCAAAGATAAACAGTTTTGTCATTTTGATTCTTTAGTTGGAATTCTGCTATTGCTGCTTGTTTGCCTACATCCCTGAAATTAACCTTGTTTAAAAGTGTATTGGCATGGAAAGGTGGCTGTGTAGAGAATCATGCGTACGCTGCTTAAAACACTTAAAAATGAAATACTAAATCAGAAGTGATAAACATGTTGATATCACTGTAAAAATAGTTTTTATGGAACAATGATAGAATTGGGCTGCTATCCTATAAGCTTGCCTTCTGTAGAAAGCCTGAAATAACATTCATGTGTTGTCATTCTTCGTGGCAAGATACACCAAAATACTACACAATTCCAGTATGCAACTATCTTAACCTTTAAATTGCTTTAGCGTTTTTATCATTTATGTTGATCAGGGACACATACAAGTTAAATAGGAAATAATATTCACAATTTTCAGATCTTCATGTGAATACATCTTTAATAAAAGAGGTAGATGAGGCAAGTACCACATTCACTAAGCCTTAAGTATATGATGGAGAAATGCATTATGTTACTTGATTGCATATGTGCAAATACCTTTTGTTTGAGATTTACACTTCTGAAACTTGTGGTGATTCTGTGTAGCTTTTCCTTCCTTAAGTGAGAGTCACGGGAAAGTTATATATGACTTTCTACAAAACAATGTTCTGGAATTGAGACAGGATCTGAGAGTCAGTGAACTTGTCCTAAAGAAACAGACTTACGCTGTAATAGGTGACAATTTGTCTAAAGTTCTCTTATCTAAACGTCTGAGTCAGGTAAAATCAGTGCAATGCAGGTAAGACTGGAGATTCTGTATGAAAATGTGTAAAATCTGAGGAATACAGGGATAAAAATTCAGATAGAATGAATGTTTTGATTTGAAATTAAAATTACACTTTTAGGAGAGGTTGTCATTGTGTTAAATAGGAAAGAAATTTTTGCCCAGGGTTAAAGATTATTTCATAGTTTTGGGAAATCTACAGTAGGAAACTCAAATTGTCCATGGAGTTAATATTACCATGTTTGAACATAAAATTTTCATCTTCTGCAGATAAGTTTACATTAACAATATGGCGCTTGGATATCACCAGTTGCTTATGCAGAGCTATCTTCTATTTGATGGAAAATACTGTGTGTTCAGTGTGGTTAAGTATGGGTTTTTCTTTGTCCCATGGGGAAATTCCGAGCACCTTTTTCTTCTGAATCTTCTAATTTTCAGGATTTTCCCTTGTATTCAACTAGTTTAACTGATAATCAGGTGAATAAATACCATCTGTGGTGTTTATTTGTATTTTCTTAACTTGCAACTTGCAGAATATACGAAGAAGTACTAAAAGAATTAAAATTACATAGCTTATATAATTATGTTTTTCAAAGTTGACTACTGCCGGTATTGAAAACACAGCTTTTTGGTGTGATGTTTTCACCAATTCAATATTGTATTCAAGGCAATAAATATGTCTTTGTTTTTTGACATGGTTTAGGTAAGGTGCACAATCCTGAATGGAATAGAAATGAAATCCCACATAGCTGTGGGGAACTTTGTGGAAAAAAGAGACAGGGTTTGGACTGTCCACATCTTTGTAACATGTAAGTAAATGTTGATCATATGAATATTGAAATGATCTAGAGATTCTTTCTGAAGGCTATAGTTGGATATTTTTTGCCTATTGGATATGCTTAGAGGTCTATTTGGTTTATAGCTCAGATGAAGCCTGGAACAAATGGAGGTTATTTGTGTTTGTATTCCTAAGGTGAGTTCATATGAGAATGAACAGGAGGTCAATAATAGTTGTAGCAACATTTCCATCCTTTTAGGGACTAATCCAGCTGCCTGACTTGGTTTCAAAAACCTTAATTAAAGTAGAGAAGTAATACTGAATAGAGGTAAATTTAAACATGTAGCCGGTGGTCCAGGCTTTTTAGGTGCTGCTTCTCCTGTGTGACTGTTTATCTGTATCTTAATCCAAGACCAGTGGTACTTGGTTAAACTGAAGGACTGCTTACTTCTGTCCTTTGTTTCTTTTTCTTTCCTTTGGCTTGTAAACTGGTGAGGATAAGAAGGTATTTTATGTATTTATGTACTTGTTGAGACCACCAGATGGTTGAACCAGAATCCCTCATGGAGACCTTAATCAGTATATATAACTCAGATCGGTTTTGCTGACATTTATTAGCATAATTCGATGAAGAGAGGCAAGAAAGTGCAAATCCTGTAGGTGTTTTTTTTAGTAATGTGGTACTAGTATATTGATAAGGTTAACAGCATTAGTCAGGCTATTTCTGTGTATGAATAGGCTTGCTAGTCAGAAAAATAAATTACATGTTGCTTCTAGTCTATCCAGCTTAATTTTCCATGTATGGAAGCTGGTCCATGATGCCTATTCATAATTCTGTTTTGAGGCTTTTTTAATAGAAGCAGTTATTTCTGCTCTTGGTACACAGTCAAAAACTTCAGTCATTCCAACAAATAACTGTCATCTTAAACTCCTTCCAAGGTTTACTAAAACTCAGAACTTCAGTAGAACTTTACTCCGAACTTTTTACTTAATGCTTTCTGTTTCAAATCTATTTCAACATCTTGTTGAATGAAAGAATGTTTCTGTACTTGTAAAACTTCTTTCCCACACATGAAAATATGTTAGATTCCTCCCCTCTGCTCTACTGAAGTATTGTGTGCCTGGAGTACTCTGTTCAGCTCTGGGGCACCCACGTAAGAGGGACATGGAACTGTTGGAGCGAGTCCAGAGGAGGCTACAGAGATGCTGTGAGGGCTGGAGCAGCTCTGCTCTGGAGCTAGGCTGAGAGAGCTGGGCTGGTTCAGCCTGGAGAAGGGAAGGCTCCTTAAGGGGAGACCTTAGAACAGCTCCAGTGCCTAAAGGGGCTGCAGGAAACCTGGAGAGGGGCTTTTGACTCAATTGTATTGTATATAAGCATAGTAACTAATGAACTAATCAGTACTGGCATAACAATTGTGCTTGGGGAATTTAGTTTGCCATGTAATTGTGTAGCCTTATGGTGGGGGGTGTTGTGTGTTTTGGGATTTTGTTAATTTTGTTTTTCTTTTGACTAGTACATCTAAGCTGGTCAGTCCTGGCCGGTAATAATTGCTCTACATGAGAGCTGCTGTATTTGCAAAGGAATAGAGCTAGGAGGTGGGTAAGGAAGAGTGCAGACAAGTTCACAAACCTGGGCTTGTCTGTGCCCAGCAGAGGTCTTGTATGCAGATAGGGACCAGTGTTTTTTTGAAGTAGGAGGTAAGATCTAATAATCAAGTAAAGGACTGGCACTGATGACACTCCGATGTGCTTGATGGTGAGAAAGAAAACTGAGGCAGACTTGTTACATGTGTTACCTTACAGGAAGAGGAACAAAAGCTCTTGCTGGTGGTGCTAGAAATGGTGAGTTCAAAGGTAAAACCATTACCTAAAAAGAAGAAATTCACAGAGAAGTTTTTGTTTCTAATCGATTTAAGATCACTGAAGAAAGAAATGTATTAATGGCTTGGACACGTGATGCTTGTTTTGAGTGTTACTGGTGATGAACACAGTTGAGTTGGTGCATTTCTGCTGATGAAATGCAAACTATGGAATGCGTTAGTAGCACTGTTACTGATGAATTGACAGCAGTAGCAATACTGAAGTTTTCCTTCAACATAAGTGACATGTGAGATTATTGCAACTGTAATAATGTAGTGTTGTTTCTTTTCTTTTGTTGATAATGCTTTCATACCCTGCAGAAGTGTATATTCTGACAGCGCACTGTGTGTTGGGTCATAGTGGGTTGTTTCTCTGGGACTGTAGTCAACCTGACGTTAACTTTACAATTTTATTTTCCCTTTCTTTTTTCTTGACTTATTTTGAAGCCTGTGCCATCCGGGACCTTGCCCTTCGTGCCCAGCCTTTGTGACAAAAACATGTGAATGTGGACAAACAAGGTGAGAATGCTTCTGTTATAAACCCAGTTTATGTAAGAATAGTTTCATAAAAGTTTATGTAGTAAGATTTTTCCTTCTTACAGTTTTTTACAAGTTTACAGAACAAAGTTTATTCTGAGCTGTGACTTTTATTTGTGCACTAAAATAATTTGAAGACTTATATATTTAAAAACTGAAACAAATTTTAGTATTTTTAAGAAAAAATAGTTGAAAGTTATCCATGTTAACATCAGTTTATGGTACGTGTAGCTGAATTGCCCAAGCAGTCTCAGGGTTGATTTGGTTTTAAAATCCCATTCTAGTGTTTATTTTATTTTGTAGAAGACACAGAAAGAAATTGGAAAAGGTTCCCATCTTTTCTATCTGAATGTAATGTAATGTTGAGCTATTCCTTTCCAGAAATAATAATTCCAAAACTAATGTGTACCTTTCTGGGAAGCTGTACCACTGACTTCTGTAGTATATTACAGAACTCGTTGTGTGTCATTGACAAGAGCAAGACTGTGCTGCCCATACTACCTGTGATATCTCGTATTCAGCTCAGAGTCTTCTGAGTCCTTATTCTGGTTACCTAGGACTGATGGTGTGTAATAAAATGCTTGCCTGGCCTCGTTTCCACATCCAGATCTAACCAAACCTGATTTTGGTGTTAGCATTCTTGCTCTATAAAGAAAGGTTTTCAGACTTTTATACTTACTTCTGAAAGCTTGAATGTAATGTTAAGGGACCTTAGCTCTTCAACAGAGGTACAGCTATGTCAGTGGCAGTACATGTACTTAAGAGCACTATGTCTTCAGTAGAAAAATGGTTTGGTTGTAGAGACTAGAGAGTTGGGGTTGTTTGTTCTAGAGAAGACTCCAGGGAGACCTTATTGTGGCCTTTTGGTACTTAAAAAGGGCTTTTAAGAAAGATGGGGAGGACTTGTTAGCAGGTCCTCTTGCGACAAGACAAGGGGTGATGGTTTTAAACTAAAAGAGGGAGATTCAGGCTGGATGTGAAATTCTGTACACTGAGGGTGGTAAAACCCTGGCACAGGTTGCCCAGAGAGGTGGTTGATGAACCATCCCTGGAGACATTCAGGGCCAGGCTGGATGTGGTTCTGGGCAACCTGATCTGGTTGAAGATGTCCCTGCTCATTGCAGGGGGGTTGGACTGGATGAGCTTTGAAAGTCCCTTCCAACCCAAACCATTTGATGATTACTTACTTTATGCAATAAGGTCGCCATTCTTTTATTCTAACTAATCCTTGGTTTAGAAATTTAATAGATGCAGCCAGCTTTCTGTTGTTTTTTTTTTTCCCAGGTGCCAGCTGCTTTCACCAGATTGCTGATTTTTTTGTAATACATTTAAACTTGCTTCTAAATAGCATTTTATCTGTGCCTTATTAACATCCAAAATGTATGATACAGCATCTCTGAATTTAAGATGCTTTAAATACATGTTTGAAATAGTGACTTTGACAGCCATTGTATGAGGCCAGCCAGAATGCAAAATCAAAAGGTTATTTTCCTTTTTAATAAATGTTCTCTAGGTATTAAGGTAGCTGACAGATTATGGTGTCATTTCTCTGCAGTCATTCAGTTCGCTGTGGCCAATCAACAAAAATCCATTGTTCTAATGTATGTGGAAATACTTTAAACTGTGGTAAGCACAGCTGTACTCAAGTGTGCCATGCTGGAAAATGTTCACCTTGCCAATTAACGGTACAACAAGGTAAGTATTGGAATGCCTTGTTTACTTTATATTATGAAAACAAGAGTGTGGAAGAAGAACCCCAAACTAACCAGTACTAAGAAGCGGGTGCTGTATTCTTACCTAAGAAACCCCAAATCTACTGCTAGAATATTTAGAAAATGCTTAATGTGTCAGCATCAATATGTATTTAAAGAAGGGTATAAGCATGACTAGAAAGAATCCACCAAAGATGATGAGGCTGTTGGAGCATGTGCCCTATTGGGACAGGCTGCTGGTACTGGACTTTGTTAGCTTGCAAAGGCTGAATAATGGCTTTTCAGTAGGCGACAGGAGCTAATCAGGAAGACAGAAACAGGCTCTATATGGAGAGAGGGTGAGAGACAAGGAGACTTAAGTTGAAACATTATAATGAGCTATAAGGAAAAACTCTTCTCTTGGAAACTTGGAGATTTTCAAGACCTAGCTGAATAAAACACTGAGTAATATGCTCTGATCTTGCTGCTGACTCTGCTTTCAGCAAGGGCTTGGACTAGCTGGTCCCGAGAGCCCTTCTGACCTGAATTGTCCTATGAGCCTGCTTAATCTTTTACTAAAATTCTGAAGACTTGATTAACCAGTATATGGAAGAAGAATACTGCTTTAATAAGTAAGCTTTTTCATGCAGGTAGTACTTCCCCTTTAGTTTTTAACCTCCTTATCAAAACAAATAAAACATGAATTCCTGCTTCTGTAGGACTGAGAAGCCTCTATTGCTGAGATAAATCTAAAGAATACCAGCTTAATTATCTTTCTAAAAACTGACTACTAATTTTTCACGGTGACCTTTTTATATTCACTGTACTGCTGGAGGTGTTCTGTCACTGATATTCTCTTTTTCACTTTCTGTGAAATAACATCTTTTTTCAGTGTGTTACTGTGGAAACAACTTTAAGGATGTATTGTGTGGGACGAAGGAAGAGTTCTCTGATGGATTTGGGAATTTCTCGTGCCAGAATATATGTGGCAAGTAAGGTCACTATAATTTAGGCTTTTGGAAAGAGAAGGTTATTTTATCACACTGTGTGATCATGATACCCTCAGATAACCTGCCTTTTCTTCTTTCTTTTCCCCAGAAAACTAAATTGTGGGAGGCACAATTGCACACAAGTGTGCCATCCTCAGCCTTGCCAACTCTGTCCGCGGCTTCCACAAGTAGTGTATCGCTGTCCCTGCGGTCAGACTCCTCTCAGCAAGTTACTGGAACTAGGATGCGTTGAACGTAAAATCTGCACGGACCCTATCCCCTCATGTGGAAAAACGTGTGGCAAACCTCTTCCTTGTGGTAGCTATGGTAATGAGAACTTTCTGCTTCCGAATATTCAAATTACCTCATCATTTAAAAAAGAAAGGAAGAAAAAAAAGTGGTCCTTAACTGTTTCATTTGGTACTGGACTTTGATATTTGATCAGTAATTTTGGGTTTTAATCAAACTGAGGGTAAAAGCCACTTCAGAGCCTGCAGTCTGGATGTTCATAATGATCAGGAAATACATTTGTCTGGAAAGCACTAACACTAGCTAGCCTTTTAAATTTTGTACCTTTCCTATATTAGTAGAAGAATAAAGCTGAGCAATATCCAGAGAGTAGTATGTGCTAATGTCTTTTAAAAGCTCACCTAGATCTTTTGACAGACATGTGGAGACTAGTAGAGATAAATGACTTTGTTCAAATGCCTCCAGTAAATACTCATTTCCTGCTCCTGTAGGAGCATTAAGGACTAAAAAGTGGCGTTGGAAAGTTGGAGGTTATGTGTGGAAGCAATGTGACACTTCAGTGGGTGCATTAGGTAACTCAAATGTATTTAACTCTGTGTGAAGCTTCAGTTTCACAGGCTATTTAACTGTGATTTATTAGGCTTCAGAAAGGAGTGAGACCAGTGCTATCAAGATGAGAGCTTCTTTTTGAAAGTTTGATCTGTTCTCTCAGTCCAAGGACTTGGCTTTCAGTTGAATTTCAACCTAGTAAGTGAAAGTGTGCATAATAAGTCATTCTTCCAAGCTGAAAAGGAATTAAAAAATGACTTAAAACTCCTGGATTTAATCCTGATTCTGTGGTTTAAAAGGTGACAATAACAACAAAATTTTATGCACATTTAACTCAAAGTAATTAATTGTTTGGAAACCCAGCTGCACAGAAGCTCGGTGTCTTTGACCAGTGATACTTAACGGCAGATGTGAAGTTCCAGGTCATTGATTTTCTTTTGTTATTAATTGTTAATCTTTGTATTTTCATTTTGCTAGAGTTCATTCACACGTGTGAAAGCCTTTGCCATGAAGGAGAGTGTAGACCTTGTTCTCGCACATCAAATATTTATTGTAGGTGTGGCTTCAAAAAGAAGGTGAGTGTATAAAGCCAGACCATGGCAACATGTAATCTTTGTTGGCTTTTAAAGCTGGGGAGAAAAAGGAGATGAAGTTGAAGAGAAGAAAGCTAAGAAGTGCTGTGCTCCTTAGTTACAAGGTCCTCCGTTGTATACTAACTGATAGATGCTAACTAGATCATGCTGTGAAGTGCTAACATAGGTCACGTACTGTGAAGGGAATTTTTTGGAAGCATTTTTGCAGTGTGTAAACAGAATTCTGTTTAGGCTGGCTATAAAATCCTGCATTGCATCCTGTAGTATTTATGTAGCACAAAGAATGGTAGTTTTACCAACGGTGATGTAAACTGAGAGAAGAAAGGGAGCCTAACATAAAAAGCTGACTAAAACTCTATAGTAATAGATTGCAGATTTGTTGTGGAATTTTTTGGAGGGAGTATGGAGTTTTTACTGGTCCCTATTCTTCATACATTTCTCTAGGGACCCAGCAAATTCTCAGCAATTGTTACATAACATTTAGTATATATTTATAAACTAATTTCTGTAATCACAGCTTTGTAATCTTTGACTGCTATCACAGGAGCCTTGTTGACTTTTCTGACTTGTTACATACCTATAGGTAGAGGTGGCTTCTGAATATAAAAATCTATAAGTACATAGACTGAGACTTTGCTAGGGGTTGGAACAGTTTTCTCCTGCAAGTTTGCTGAAGGTAGTTATGGGATAGAAGGCTTCAGATTATCTTTCATTTTGAGGCCTGAAACTAGGTAGTGAGGTTTAGGTTTTAATTCATGCAGCTTCTCAGACACCAGGAAGCTGCTTCTTGAAAACGTATGAGTGAACTACAGTGATAACGTAAATTGGTCATGAAAAATGTGATGCCTAGAAAAGACAACTCGGAATGTGAAGTTGTGATGATTGAAGGTTCAAATGTAGTCAATCAACAATGTTCTTTTCATCTTTCACCTTTTATTTTCATGTTGAAGTCTTTATATAAAATTTTTTGATCATGAGATTTGACTTCACTCTCTTTGGTCTTTAAAACAAGTAAGACTTCCATTTTTGGAACATTTGGTCAAATTGTACACTCACCATTCTCTAGGAGAGCTCCTGTGGTTTCTTAGGGCAAACCTGGTTTTGTGACTTCACAGCTTTATCTGCTGAATTAGCTGGACAGTACAGAACCACATTTTTTGTTGTGGGTTTTTTTTTTAATTTCCATTGAATCTCTAAGGGAAAAGTTTTGTGTTAAAAGATCTGAGGGTTTTTTTTTTCCAGCTTTTATTTCACTTTTGCATACCAAAGTGTTATACACCTGAAAACTGAGAGTGCTGCTTCTTCATGTGACTCTTTTCTATATAAGTTTGTTGTTTCATCTGTTTTAACCTAATGGCTCTCTGTTTATTTCCTAGGAAGTCCCGTGTGCTCTCCTGAGAAATAAAGGTATGGTGTTACATTACATTACATATGCAATGTGAAATTGTTTTTAAAATGATGCACAGCTCATGGTAATTCTGGGTTTGATTGACTTTGGCAAACAGCTGATCAGTACTGCTTCTTTTATCCATACTTCTGTGACAAGTTGGTCATTTCTTGAAATGCTGCTACTTTTGGGGAAGAGGTTTGAACTGAACCTCTTTCATTTCTATCCATCTTTTACACAAGGGAAGACTTATTCAGCATTTGAGCTCAAAAATTCCAGACAAGCTGTTTGTTTTGATTTGAACAGTTTCTTATGCTACCTGCCATGCTCACTAGGTTGCCCTCCCCATCCTGCGTATCTTGTGGCTCATGCAAATACAATTCATGCAAAGTAATGCTTTTGCTTTGCTCATGTCCAGGTTCCTGGGGAAATACAAGCTTTGCTTCTGCTTCACAGCTGCATGCTGCTGATCTTCGTATCTGGGCTTGGCAGCGAGTTGCCATTTGACACTTCTTGGTATTCTGGGTGTAGCAACTCGGAACTTTTGCCTCAGTGAAATGTTTACTCGATGGACCCCTGTCATACTGAGTTTCATTTACAAGATACATAAGGAGCAATATATGTACTTAATTTGAGCTTTTGTCTGTGAAGCATTTGTTCTTCAGAATCCAGAAATGGTTGCTTTTGTTACCTGTGGATAAGGATGTTCTTTGTTAGCACTAGTTTTGTGAGCATATCAGGAATAATTGTTTACCTGACTCTTAATGCGTTACCAATTTGAGCAGTTTTAAAATGATATTTGTGGTACTCTGATGTATCAGGTTATCCTATTTTGTGTTCTATTTAGCAGAGTTCATGGTGTAAAGTCTAATGTGAAATCAACTAGTTTCATGTGTTCTGCTCTCCAAAATCCTTTTGAACAACTGTTTGTTTAAAGGAAGCCAAGTGTTCACATGGGGAATTAATGTGAGAGAGCAAGTAATTTACAAGTTTGCTTGCTCTGTTAGTCTCCTCTAGATCATGCTCTGCAACAGCCTCAGCATAGAGTGGTTTGAGTTGGAAGGGACCTTAAAATTCATCCAGTTCCAATCCCCTGCCACAAGCAGGGACACCTTCCACTAGAGCAGGTTGCTCCAAGCCCTGTCCAACCTGGCCTTGAACACTGCCAGGGATGGGGCAGCCACAGCTTCTCTGGGCACCCTGTGCCAGTGCCTCAGCACCCTCATAGGGAAGAATTTCTTCTGTATAGCTAATCTAAACTTGCCTTCTTTTTGCTTATTAAATAATCAAACATTCATATTTCTCAATTTATATTGGTTCATATTTTTATTATTTAACGAATATAGTGTAATTATGTAATGTGATTGCAGCTGCTGTTCTCAGCACAATCAGAGATGTAAAAGTTGATTTTCTTTTTAATAGCTGCTATTACCTTCATGTGTGACAAGCGATGCAACAAGAAAAGGTCATGTGGACGACACAAATGTAATGAAGTTTGCTGTGTGGTAAGTTTACATGTGGCTTTATAAAGTTGTTCATTGTGATGTGTGTTTGTTTTTGGTTGTGATGTTAGACTTTTTGCTTTTGTATCTTTCCATTTTTGTCTCTACCTGCAGTATTGGTCATCCTCAAAAAAGCTTGTGTGTGTGTGTTTATTTTGCAGTATTTGTTTTGTGGGCATAGTTATAAATGTAAAACCATATTCCAGCCTAAATGCAAGTAAATCAGCGTAAAGGTGCTTTTTGTCAATGCAGTGATTTCAGGGTATTACTTAATGCAAGAGGTATAAGCTATGATGTAGGTCTGTCTGCAACAGAGGTCTTACCAGAATCCACTTTTTGAATTGTGTATCTTTAGAGTGATGGAAAAACTCTATAGATTAGGCCTAAGCTATTTTTTTGCACTACAGTTTTGCCAATTAGTTGGTTATGACCTTACAGAGAAAAATAAACTAATGGGGTTTATAGTTCAGTTCTGCTTTTTCTTTTTTGCCTTCCCCTAGGACACAGAACATAAGTGTTCTTTGGTTTGTGGTCGTAAACTCAACTGTGGGCTTCATAGATGTGAAGAACCCTGTCATCGGGGCAGTTGTCAAACATGCTGGCAAACGAGTGAGTTACATGCAAGTGTATGGTAGTTCCCATGTATTACAGAAGTCTTTTCACTGAACTGGTCAGAGTGGGACATGAATGTGATCCAAACTGACCACAACATGGAGAATATGCAGCTAACTTTGATTTTATGTTTTTTTTCATGAAAGAGAAAGTTATTTCATTTTGGATGAGTTAACTAAGTGATTTTAATACTTAAAAGTTGAATTACAATGAAATATATTGATATGTATGTTGATCCAGCAATCATTTAAATTTGAGGAATCATGCAAGTTAAAAAAAACAGTTTAGAATTTTAAAGTTAAGGGAACTCTTGTTTAACAATGTGATATCTGTTAAAGGTATTGAAGCATGTAGCAGATTTTATTCAGCTGCTTAGAATTCAGACTTTCCCACTTGGTACACTAGTGATTTTTCTCTGGACAGGACCATCTGAAGAAATAAGAGATGTCAGTCCTGTGTGTCTTAGGCTTTCTGATCACGTTCTGGATGGTAAAAATTAGTACTAAATTGCTAGAAATAGATTGACAGGGAGCAGGTATTAATTTTCCTGCTAATTTATTTAAAGATTTAAGTTGGTGCAATAGCTTTAGACAGGTATGTACTCTATTAAAAACAGGGGATCATATCTTGATTATTTTGCACCATTATAATAGGTAGATAATAATAGGTTCTCTGATTTGGGCCTGAAGAAGACAGAAGAATGCTTCCTTCTGGTAGCAGAACCTTTAGTTGATTTGGAACATCTTTGTATATGATAGCAGTTAATTCTTTTATTCCTCAGTCTCCTAATATAGATGTAGCTTATCACAGAAATTATAAGCTATTTATTAAATGCAGTCTTTGAAAGTTGGGTAGGACAAGCCGCCCTTAATGTATGTATACTGCCTGAGACAGCTTCCAAAGCATACAGAATTGGCCTTAGAAGTATTTGGACAGTCTCGTAAGCTGCTTAGGAGGACCCATGTAATACTCTATGGCCAAGTATACAGAAGAAACTGTAGGAAGAAGTCTGCAAACTACTGTGCCTTCGGTTATTTTCTCTGGAATCTTCCCAGCACCATCTGCAGGGCTTGGCAAAGGATCACATCGAACCACTGCTCTGAGAAAGTGATGGCAGGGGGAAGTTCAGAGTACAAGGTTTGGATGATGTGCTCATTGGAAGGGAATTCAAGAGATAACGTTCCCATTTTTAAGTAAAGCATCGAACAGCAACAGCTTTCCACTTGACATGAGCATTTGTCTTGCTCCAGTTCAAAATGTTGCTGTCAAACTGCTCTCTAAAGGCAAGCATAATTCCTAATGAAGTGATGTTAATGAAGTTGTCCTGAGGAGCCACAAAAGCCAATAAAATCACTAGAGTGGTGCTTAATTTAAAAAACTCTGAAGCTGGAGTAAACATTTGCATGTTATTTAAAGGCTTCTTGTAATGAAGTGCAAATACATGTAGCCACTGGGATATGTTTTACTTGTTTTTTTTCAGGTTTTGATGAGTTAACTTGTTATTGTGGTGAATCTGTGATTTACCCCCCTGTCCCCTGTGGCACTCAGCCACCAGAGTGTAAAAAAACATGCACCAGGCCACACGACTGTGATCACCCAGGTAAGTGAGGCCATCCAGTTTTGCTTGGGTTATTTCATTTTGTTGCTGGTTTTTGTTTGTTTTGAGCTTGTTTTGTTTGAAATCCAAATGTACAGAAGTGTACATAGGTCTATTTAAAAATCTTTTTTTTTTCTTAGATGCTTTTTCTGTAGTTTTGAATGTTTCCAAAAGTCTGTGTTTAAAAGCCAACCACCTAAATACTTGCCATTGAGTGCTAGCAGTGGTACTTATGGCTGGTAAAAACATTGGATTTTTTTCTGATCATTATTAATAGTCATAGCACACTAAATGTTATATTCCAAAGATTAAGTGCTATTGCAACAGTGGGATAATCTAGTGAATGGTTAGTTTCTGTATTCCTTGGAATTAATTACCTTGGCTGATTGCAAATGATACAGCACAGGTCAAACAAATCTGTGTTCTGACAAATTTTGTCTTGATAGTATAACCCTGCTTAGAAGTCACAAAATTCTCTACTATTTAATTTAGAAAATGTGGAATAATATTCACCTAAAAAACCTGCCATCATAGTTTGTAAAGAGTACTTTAAAGACCAGATTACCCTCGCATGAAGCGTCATACTTCCCACAAATTGTGTTGTTCTGAAATGCAGACTCCTGTTTAATAGTCTTTACTGTCTCCTTTAATGCCTTTGACTGAAATATGCTAATAAAACTGTGCTGGCCTTTATATTTCTGTGACTGTAGTGTACCATTCATGTCATAGTGAGGAGAAGTGTCCACCTTGTACCTATCTCACTCAGAAGTGGTGTATGGGCAAGCATGAAGTAAGTCTGGACTCTTAATGTTTTTGAATACTAAGTAATGTTCTGGGACTGTAGGGTTAGATTTTTTTTGTGGCCTCCATGGAATGGGATATGTTACTGGAGCTTGAGTTTAGTGTGATTGAATTAGAAAAGTGTATCTTTTATGTGATATGCATTCAGACCAGCTGCTATATTGGACTGTGATGTAAAGAAAAACTCAGTCTTTGTCCTAAGATATTTTAGTAGCTCTTGCATGGACAGTGTCAAATGAAGGTGTGAACAGGAAAAGTACTTTGAGATCTGCATTTATAGTTTTTCCTTTTTAGTTGTCATCTGTTTCCTCTCCTCTTCCAGCTGCGCAGTAATATTCCGTGTCATCTCACTGACATTTCGTGTGGCCTTCGCTGCAATCAAATGTTAAAATGCGGAATGCACAAATGTAAAAGAATCTGTCATAAAGGAGAATGCCTTATAGATGAAGAGTGTAGACAGCCGTGTATTATTCCAAGGCTATATTGTAATCATCCCTGTATGGCTCCATGTCATCCGTCTTCACCCTGCCCAACAACATCCTGCTCTGCAAAGGTTAGATACCAAAAGAAAATTCAGAGGAAGCAAGCTCACAGGAAAACTATGATTTCATTATCAGCCAGTAACAGTTGTGGCAAGTGTTTGTATATTGGTAGCATGACATTTTTTCTATGAAGTTACTAATTTTTTTTTTAAAAACAAACCTATACATCACTTTAAATTAGCCATTATTCCACTAAAATGGGACTTTTTCAAGGAGTAAACTTGACCTCCCTTACACCCCACCATGGCTGTAAAAAGACCAAAGTTTAGAAAAGCTGCTCTCTTTTGTGATGCACAGGTTGATCTTCAGTGTGAATGTGGAAGAAGAAAGGAGAGTATGATTTGCTCAGAAGCCTCTAATACATATCAAAGGTTTGTACTGCAGTAATTCTTTTAATTCCTTTCTGGATTTACTTCTTTGCAGTTGATTAAATGTTAGGCTTGACTAAATGTATTTGATTCGCAGGCATTTTCACACTTTTTTGTACTTTGATGTACGGTTTTTCTTTCGTATTCTCCTGAGCTTTCATACCAGCTACGCTGTACTAGGATACATTCCTCATTTCAGTGTTGTTAGTCTAACTGTGCCAGTGTGTCAAAGCTCGAATCTCCCATCTGTGGAACTCTGCTCTACCCACATTGAGCAATTAGGTACAGACTAATTGAGCAGGTCCAGATTCAGGCCTCTGAGTGCAGGACCTATAGCAGTCCATGTGTGAGTTCCCTTAATGTGTGATGAAATCTAGTCAATACAGGTGATGGAAACTAAGAGTGATTTAAAGTCATTCTAAAACAGCTAAACTCAGGCATCAGAACTTTGGTCCTAATATGTAGACTAAGTTCTACCTGATTCCATTCCTGTCTCTAGATTCTATTTCTGAACTTCTTTCTTTGTCTTACAAGAGAGGGCAAGGAAGGGACAAGAAAAAGAAGTAGGGCTTTGGAAATGAAAATAGAAAAACAGTATTCATAATACTTTTTTTAAAAACAACCTTACTCTGAGGCTGTGGTTGAAAGGGAGTCAAAAAGATAATCTAGAGTTGAAGAAGTTCATCCCTGTGAGGGTGCTGAGGCGCTGGCACAGGTTGGCCAGTGTTCAAGGCCAGGTTGGACAGAGCCTTGGGCAACATGGTCTGGTGTGAGGTGTCCCTGCCCATGGGAGGGGTTTGGAACTGGATGATCTTAAGGTCCTTTCCAACCCAAACCATTTGGTGATTCTATGATACTGTCATGGGTTAACCCCAGCCACCAGCTAAGTACCATGCAGCTGTTCGTTCACTCTGCTCCCCGACATTCCAGTGGGATGGGGAGAAGAATCAGGAAAAGGTAAAACCTGTGGGTTGAGATAAGAACAGTTTAATAATTGAAATGAAGTAAAATAATAATTGTAGTGAAAGGGAGACAACAGAAAGAGAGAGAGGAATAAACCCAAAGAAATACAAGTGATGCACAACATGGTTGCTTACCACCCACTTACCAATGCCCAGCCTGACCCTGAGCACCGATCGGCCCCTTCCAGCCAACTCCCCCCACTTTCCATACTGGGCATGACGTGCTGTGGTGTGGAATACCCCTTTGGCTAGTTTCAGTCAGGGGTCCTGTCTCTGCTCCCTCCTGGCTTCTTGTGCCCCTCCTCACTGGCAGAGCATGAGACTGAAAAGTCCTTGATCAGGGTAGCTGATGCTACCGCACAACAGCTAAACCACTGATGTGTTACCAGCATTGTTCTCAGACTAAAGCCCAAACACACAGCACTGCACCAGGGACTAGGGAGAAAGTTAACTCTATGCCAGCTGAACAAGGACACATGTTCAACCAGAGTTCTGCTCTGCATCCCAGTTGATAGGAGAGCACAGTCACAGATTCTGTCTTTTAAAGAAAGCTTAATATCTGATTTATTTGGAACTGCTGTTTGAGGGCTAGCCCAGCTTAGGATGTGCTGCTTTGTTCCTGCTGAATGCTGCCCAGATTCAAATTCTGTCAGAAGATGGCTTAGCATTGACGTAATAGGTGCTTAATATTAACTAATGAAAACGAGGAGAGAAATGTGCTAACCAGAAACAGTTAATAACAATTTTAGTCAAAGTTGAATGCAAGACAGACGTAACGGGAGTGGTGATCAGTGTTTCTCCTTTAGAAGAAAGGGTTCTATTGCACTATGAATACCAATCAGAAGACTGACTCAACTTTGAAATACCAGTTTAAACTGACATTTGCTCGTCATTAATGATAAACTGGGAAGGTAACATAGTTACTTGTCCAGATTCTTGAAGGCTGTTATTTCTCCGCTGCTTGTATAGCTCTACTACAGAAACAGGCACTGCAAAAGTATTCACATGAGGAAAATAGTTTTTTGAAGTCAGTGAGAGTCCTTGCATGCATAAGCTGAACACATATGTACGTATCTAATCAGAGCCCAAGTCAAGAGGAAGGGAAAGAAACAATCAGTTTAAAGCAAGTGTTTGCAGGTTCAAATGGGTTCATGCTTGTCTACAAACTACTCTTGGCCCATGTGATAGCAACAAAAGTGGCATTTAATGCCAGCTAAGTTTGTGTGGTAACTGCAACTGTTAATGTGGCTGAAAGAGTAAAATATTCTGGTTTCATGGGGTTAGGTTTGGCTTTTTTCCCCCACCATCTACGTATGTGGGGAGAGAATCTGGTAAATCTGAAGCCAATGTCCCTCTCAGTGTTTTTTGGGTTTATGCAATGTGATAGATGATGAGTTCTCAGTGTGTGAAGGAAAACATAGAGACAAACATATCCTTTAATCTGAATTCAACAGAAAAGATCATTAAAAGGACTGAATGTTCCATTTTCAGGATTTTGCTTGAGAATGGTGTGGGATATTTCACTAAAAACTTAATGTATATTTTAGTTACAGAAAGTTTAGCAAGCAAATCAGACTGGGAAGGCTTGTTACTGAAGGGAATGATGAATCTTTATAAAGAAAATATTAACAGTCTCAGTAGGCATTTTGCTCTTTCCTTATGGCTTGAATAATCCATATTTTCTAAGCAAATTTCAAAGTACTTTATAAATTCACTTTACAGCTTTTAGTTACACACAATTAAGGAAGAATCACATAAAGGTTAAAAAAGCAATTAAAGCTGTACAGTCAGCTGCAGTTTGCATGTTAAGCAGGTGAGAAGAAAAAGTATTCACACTGCCTGGCTTAGACTTGCTTAGAATTGACGCTCTGAAAAAATCCCTGAAGTATGTCTTGCTCCTGGTTGCTTGAGGGAGATTGAGACAAAGTAGCCTCTTAAATTATGCAGCTAAAACTAGGTGATGTGGAACTGGAGTCCCATTCTGTAATGTGATGATTAAACAGCCTGTCCCTCTCCACCTGGAGGTTTAAATCTGCAGCTTTATAAAGCTTTTGAAAGGTTTATGTGTAGCCTCAAATGAAATCTAATGCTCTTCTTTTTCAGAATAGCTGCTATTTCTATAGCCACTAAGTTAACAGATCTACAGCTTGGAGATTCAGTGGAAATCAGCAGGCTTATTACGAAAAAAGAAATGAAGCAGGCCAGGTAAGGAGAGCAATGTAGAAACATGCTTCATATCCTTGTGTATACCTGAATCACAACCAATGTGGAAAATACATAATATTGTGAGCAAAATCCCAGCTAAAATAGAAAGACTTTAAATAGCCTGGCTCTACTTTGACAATACTGCTAAAAAAGTATTATGCAGTTCCTTAGTGGTTCAGATTTTTGCTTTTATGTAGAATGAGATCTGTGTTATTGGTAGTTTTGTTGCTGTAATTGTATATGGAACAATAGAATTGTGGTTTGAGTTTCTTTCTACCCAGCAAACTAAAGTTCCTCTGGACTTCAGGTTTCTAGACACTAACTTTTTGCTATTATCTTAGATTTTAGGATCCAGCATCCTGGATGATTAATAGCCTAATGTTTTCCTCTGGTCATCATCTTACCATTTGTAATATTTGTCTATTACTCTTTTTACATGTCTTGCATTTGATTCTCAATTTGATTGGCATTTCTGTGTTTTAGTATTAGCTTGCAAGTGCAAATCTGCTTTTAAGTCACAAAAACACCTGTGACTCAAATTTGGTGATTTTTTTCTGTTCCTCCTGATATTCCTCAGGGTTGGAATCACTTGTCTCTTTACTTCTAGTATCTTTTCTTTAAGGAATTGTCAAGTTTCTCCAACACCCTTCTGTCAGAAACTTGACTTTCTGAAGTCTTCTGCCTCGAAGTCCTTATATTTCTGCGTTTAGTTTATTTCTAGTACCATCTCTCCTTTCTTAATAGTGAATTTGATTATTTCAATGTGTTCAAAATCTCATGTTCCTTTATATTATATAATGTCAAAATAGTGAAATTTTCCTATGCGCTTCATTGCTTCCTGTATCAAAAGCTTATACCAGCATATTTTGGCTAGTCATTCTGTTCTGTTTATCTGTTTAATGGCTGTGAAATGGGAGCACATTTATTACCAAGTCCTTTTGGGTAATTATCTACACTGAAATAATTTTAACTCTGAATGTAAGGGCAAGGTGAACTAATATCAGAAAGGACGGAAATGTCATAGCAGCTGTATACTTGCCAGGATTGCAAGTAAGACAACAGTGTCTCTATTGGTGTCCCAGCCTTTGCAATATGTAAATGGTGCTGTAGTCACTGCCACTCATGTTTCTGTGTGGGCAGACTTATTGCCCTTTCTTTGAATAGTTGAAATCACCAGAGATTACTTTTCTTGGTGCAAATCTTTACTAGCTTCTTGTCAGACTCCCTTATTTTCAAAGTAACTTACAATTCTGCTTTATTCATTTACAATAGCAGAATATTTTATGCAAGCTGTACAGAGATTTCTGTCTCTCTTGTTCTGGAGGATACCATATTTGTTTAGACCTAGAGTAGCTTCTTGAAGTTGGCTGTATTCCTCTTCTAAAGGAGGAGAATATGATTCTTCAAGCAAATGACTTTAAACAGTGCCAGGTTGATCTTAGAGTGCAAGTATGTTAGCTTTTTTCTGCCTCCACCAGAAGTTGTGGATCCCATAGCTGTAGGTCTCCAAACATAATACATACCACTGAATGAACCAGTTTCCCCTGTAGAAATTAAGTGTTTGAAGTTAAGGAACTGTTATCAACAGAATTATTTTAATCTCTATGAAATACTTGACAAAGGTGAAGTTCAGAAAAGTTAAATTTGTAACTGTTGACACTAGAAGTTATGGGCTTCATTGAAATACTGATTTTTATGGTGCATCATAATCCTCCATATGCATAGCTAACTTTCCTGGTTTTCCTGGCTGATGCATAGAACTGACTGTCACAGCTTACTCTGTTGGTATCCCATCCTTCCTAGCATCCCCTTGATGCTGATGCCAACTGCATTTGTTTTCTCAAATGATCTAATTTACCAATATAATCCAATTCAGAAGCTGGTTTTCTCAACTTTGGTATGGAGTTGGTAACTGCTGCTTCTGTTCAAGACCTGGAGAAGGGCTTGTGGGCTCAAAGATCTTTGTGGTTTGTTTGTTTAGCTGTATTATCTGATCTAATACAATAAACTATTCTCACACACTCTTCCTACTTCTTCAGGCTGTCATAACGATATGATACCAACAGAGCTACAGTTTGAAAAGTGTGAGTAGCAGCAGTGATTCTAGTTGTATTTTTCTTTCTTAATTCAGGTTGCAATGTGATGAAGAATGCTTAGCTCTGCAGAGAAACAGGTGGGCAATAAACTTGCTTTTTTTCCTGTTCAGAAGTTCATGTTCAGAAAGTTAATGCTATGGACAAAAACCCCTTTCCTGCATGACCTAGACAGCCAATAAATGTGGAGATGGTCCCTGGTCTATATTGAGTGATCTGAGATCTTACAAGAGTATTCTAGTGAAAAGTACTAAATGTGTAGTTTCAAATGTACAGACTGCATCTTCTGTGAGTTCTTCCATCTGTATTAGTAACCCTTTTCTTTACCCTTCAGTGACAATCTGTTTGGGAGGCTGGGAGGATTTGTGGCTTTATTTTGTTTGCTTGTAGTTTTGTTACATGTTGTTTTTTCCCTCCTGCCCTTAAACATAGGCGTCTTGCTGAGGCTCTTGAAATAGATGATAATTCTGATCCTTTTAATATCCGTTCTCCTGGACCAAAGTACAGTGAACTTCTAAAAGAAGATGCAAGGTATGTGTTCTAATGCTGGCAGGTATCAGTGTTGAGAGCAAGATGGGAAATGCAGAACAGTTCCATTTACTCTTGTAAAAATGCCCATGTTTTACTCTCCAGCCATGGCAGTAGGTGATAATTGAGGCAAAAGAGTTGATGCATACATCTCAAGACCTCCAAAATGAGAACGTGAGAAGTAACAAATGCCTGACAGGTTGCTTTGTTCTGTAATAGGACCAGATTTAGAATGGGAACATCACTTTTCACCATTCTTCTCACTGCAGATCAGGACCTGTATGTCTCATGCCTCTGCTGCTTTCATATGCAACCAGCCCTATATGGGTGCTCCTTGTTATCTTTTCAAGACAAAGACTAAAGTGAAAGCTGAGTAATGAAACATGCTCCCATAGCCTGAAATTACTGAAATTATTTCCCTCCATCAATTTCTTTTCTTTTTTTTTTTTCCTTACTGCCTTTATTTTAAAAATAAAGAAATGGAATTAATAAAACCCTTGATTGACACAGAGCTAAGCCTGTGCCAGCGCTGACAGCAAAGAGGGCTGCTAGGCTGAAACACCTGAAAATGAGGCAATAAAAAGTCGCAGTAGTATCAAAAGCATTACACTAATAAATACTCTGCAATTTGGAATGACCATTAATTTGCTGATGTGTTGAGACAAGTGAAAATTCTACATAAGCAGCCGCACAGAATGTAAGAGTAAATCAAGCAACCTAAACCTCCTAGTACAGAACCAGAGACAAGTATAGGTGAGAAATAAGCAGGTCTGACTGTCCCGCATATCTAATCAGGATCATCTGGTGAAGACCAGTGAACTGCAGGATTTCTCTTCTCTTTGGTTTATCTTCTTGTAAAATGATCTACAATGGGATTAATTTTCTTCTGCCACCACCAACACAACCCCCAGCCACATCCCCTGCATACTATGCTTTCTGTTTTGTCTTCCTGTTTGAGTACTTCAGTCTTGACTATCTTGGGATTTCTGGAAGACACATTCTGAGTATTTCTGACAGACATTCTGGTTGATTTCAGTGGTGCCTTTGAACTAATAACTCTGGTTTTATACTTTTGAACACTTCCAGGAAAGTGATGGAATCACCATGCCCTGGAATCACCTTAGTGGTGGCCTTTGCAGAGCTGGAGCGAAGGTTGGACTTGAGGATCTTAAAGGTCTCTTCCAACCTGCTTGATATGATTCTGTAGGTTCCTGAAGGGATGGTTGTTTTTGAACATATCCTCCAGTCTGTGAGCTGGTTCCTCAGTAGGTTTTTAAATATAACACATCAGGTGTTTGTGGACCCTTTGGTTGTTGGTTCCTTTTTTTTTTGTTTGTTTTCTTACCTCCTGTGGTCACTTCACCTTGAAATTTGGATGTTCATGGCTGGCATTCCATGTAACATTTCCTTTCTGAGTCTATGGAGTTAAGCTCATCCTAAAGAGATCAGTGGGTTTGGTGGTTGTTGTGGTTTGGGTTTGGGGTTATTGCCGCAATATTCTTTCCAAAGCCTCATGGGCTGTTTCTGTATTTCACAGCTGAGATGTCCAAAGGCCTCTTTCTTCTTAACTCTACAAGTCCAGGTCTTTTTTGCATTTCTCCCAATGTAGTATTTTTCTCCACTGAAGGTCTAGGAGTTCTGATGATGGATGGACATCTACTATGGTCCATCCTGTAATGGTTCCTCCGTTGTTACAATACCTTGAAGGCTTTCCAGTGGTGGGCTGAGTCCCACCAAACCAGTGATCAGATGATGTTGGTAGCCAGACTACTTGATGTTGCCATTTTCCATGTTTCCTTGAGACCATTTGGTCAGCATCCAGAGCTTTAGTGGGGCACCTACCAAAGATGACGGTGCCTGCTTTAGTAGGCACTTCTTGACTGATGAAATTCTGACATCATTCACAAAGCGGTGTTGTGTTGGTATGGAATGGTGCCTGGTTTTGAAGAAATAAGGTTTACTGATAACCCGCTTTGAGATGTGAAGTATTCAGGTAGCCTTTTTCCACCGTGGGGATGGTGCCCTAACAAATAACAGCCTTACTTTTGGAGTTAGCTTACCTGTTTATTTAAGAGCAGAGTGCAAAGATTACCTTTATGTGAAAACTTGACTTACTGTGATTAAGCAAGATAGAACAAAATCCTTTCTATCTCATATCAAGAACATTTTCTTTGCTTGCAAGTAGCCTTATGCGGCTTCTTCTTACTAATTTGTTATGCTATGTAGGCCGCCAAAGTCAGTGCACTTTTCTTTTGTCTTGGAAAAGATCTCTACTCTGTTTATCCAATCCCCATTTTTGTGTTTAAGCATGTATTCTAGTCAAGTGAATTGCCTGAGTGACAATTAATTTACAAACCGCTGAAATAGCAGCTTTAAAATCTATATTATCCATTTTAAAATGCAGACTTGTGTTGTCAGTAGAATTGTATCCTAGACTTTTATGCTGTGTTCTAAGGGTTGAAGGAAAAAGAATTGTTATTTTTTAATAGCAATGACATACTAACCTTTTTGAAGTGTAAATAGTGTAATAAATCAAAATGCTTCCGCTTCAGTTGAGACCTTAAATGTTGTTCTTGTTGAAAATGATGTTACAAAAGATAAAGATACTGTATCTTTGTACACTCGTACCTCATTTACCTAGAATACTGGTTTTGCAGGAAGGATTTGAAGTTTGTCAGTGACGTTGAGAAGGAAATGAGAATGCTTGTGGAAGCTGTGAATAAGGTCAGTATGCAGATATTCTGTATGACCTATTGTAAGAAACAGGTTTGTTTAATTTGGAGGGGGAGTTTAATGTTACTAAACTTTATTAATACTAATAGTTACGAGTGGACACTGAATCTGCTTAAGCTCCAATAGAGTACACAATTATAAATAGAACAAAATTTTTGGGAAACGTAGTAATTCGGGATAACTTTGGTGACAGCCAAGCTTTGTTTGAAGATTCAATCAGTGCTAGGCTTTAATATATCAATGATTCTTATTAATTTTTGGATCTCTGTTAGTCAAGTGTTAATCATTGAAGATGATGTTTAAAGGGTCAAACTTTGAGGAGGAAAGCCTAGGTGGTTCTGATTCCTGTAATGGAGCTGGCTCACAGATTTATGTATACCTTCCTGCATTTGCCAGTGTGTGAGGGAGTCCCTTCTTTAAGGAGATTCAGATTCAGCCACAGTTGTTTGGCAGACTCCAGTATGCCAAAACAGAATCATTTGTTTTTCTAGTGAAAGCAGAATTCCGCCTTCAGGCCTGTCAGGTGAGCATAGTCCTGGCTTGCTGCTGCACTGTGCCTCACCCAGTATATGTGGTTCAAAGGACAGTATAAACCATGCTACTCTCAGTTGCCCTTAGCTCAAGAAAGAGTACACTTCATGTAGAAAGCAATAATTTCCTTCCCTCTACCCCGAGGACAGTTACGTAACTTTATTCCTTCTTTTTTATGTATGATGTTTTCTTAAACAATCTTTGTGCTTGTTCACCTGTTTCATGTTCTTGCCTGTTGTTTTCACATTGGAATTAAAGTCTTAAAGGGGGTCATCTGTGTATAATTATGTTCAGGCTCCTTCAACCTCGGGCATCTAGTAACAGATGCATAGAACAGTTGTTATTACCTAAAGATAATTTGCCCAATGTTGTGTTGCCTGTGGTTATCCTATTTTACATATACCTTTATTATACACACATATACACAAGTATGTACATACATAGATATTTCTCTATATATAACTGTGTATACTAATGCATATGCCCATACTAATATCAAACCAATAGATGTACTTACTGTATATTAAAGAAAGGGCAGCCACAGGTCTAGAACTTGCCATATACGGTAAATTAGTGACATCAGATATGACAGAACAAGAGACTAGAAGGCTCAGGAGCATCTTCAGTGCTTTGTTTCTCAGCAGTATCCAGCCATTTGTTAAATAATGATCCTATAAAGCAGACAAATGTCTGTTAACAAGCTTGTACATTACAGAAGAGAATGAAAGAATGAAACCAAACCACATGTGACAATCTTCACCCTGTCTGACCTAAAGGGAGAATTACTCAGTGGTAACTTGAGCTTTAATCATGGTCAGGATGAACCAGTTAGGCTCATATGACAATTCAGTATCTCAAAGATCAGTTCTGCCCCTCAGGCTATTTGGATGTTGCTATTATATTGTATAAGGTACAAGAAGTCCTCATAAGTAAAATTATATTTGATACATGTGTGCGTGTACTTTGAGGTGATGGAAATAATAGAGAATACATAATTTGGGGGGGGGGAATAAATTATCATCTTTAGATTATTTTTCTGTCAATACTGAGGTGACCAGCAGGTCAAAGGAGGTGATCTTGCCCCTCTACTCCACTTCTGTGAGGCCTCACTTGGAGTATTGTGTACAGTTCTGGTGTCCTCAACATAAGAAGGACATGGAGCTGTTGGAGCAAGTCCAGAGGAGGCCACGAGGATGATCAGGGGCTGGAGCACCTCCTATATGGAGACAGGCTGAGAACATTGGGGCTGTTCAGCCTGGAGAAGAGAAGCTGCATGGAGACCTCAGAGCAGCCTTCCAGTGTCTGAAGGGGGCTACAGGGATGCTGGAGAGGGACTCTTCATCAGGGACTGTAGCGATAGGAACAAGGAGTGATGGGTTCAAACTGAAACAGGGAAAGTTCAGGTTAGATATAAGGAAGAAGTTCTTTACTGTAAGGGTGGTGAGGCACTGAAATGGGTTACCCAAAGGCTGTGAATGCTCCATTCCTGGTGGAGTTAAAGGCCAGGTGGGACAGAGTCTTGGGTGACATGGTTTAGTGGGAAGTGTCCCTGCCCATGGCAGGGGGGTTGGAACTGGATGATCTTAAGGTCCTTTCCAACCCTAACTATTCTATGATTAATACTTTGTTGTAATAATTTTGTTGTAGCAGCAAAATTTTAGAGGTAGAAGCACTGTCTTTTTAATTCTTTTCTTCCCCCTGACCCTGCAAAGGAAAACTTTACCTTTTGTTTTTGTTCTTAACCTTTTCTCTTGAATTCAGGGCAAGCATACAAAGAAGAGCCATTGTTACCCACCAATGAACAGAGATCACCGCAGAATCATCCATGAATTAGCTCAGGTTTATGGCATTGAAAGCGTGAGCTACGACAACGAACCAAAGCGCAATGTTGTTATCACTGCAGTGAAGTACGTAATCCACGGTTGTTTTCAAGCCTGTTAATGATTGTTTAAATAATTGGATATTTTAATCACTTACTTGAGTTTGAGTTCATTTCCAGTGCTATCGTCAATATGTAGTAATTTCCAGTAGATATTTAAGGTAGTTTTAAAGTTAATAGTTTCATAGGCTTTTATTTCCAGTAGTCAAGTAAATCTTCGGAGAAGAAAACCCAATTAGCCATTAAAAAGCTGATAGAAGACTGCAAGGCTGTTTTCCATTCATCCTCACAGTAACTGTTTGTCTTTTTGCCATCAGCTAAATTTGATAGAAGTATCAAAAATGTAAAAATCATCAAATTTTAAGAAAATATAATTGCTGGATAGAGAAGTCATACCTACATTCTCACCTTCTTTGAAAAAATCTGGTATTAGAACTTACTTGTTTTTCATCTGCCTGAACCTGCCACAGAGTATATTACTGGACAAAGGGAGACCTGGAATTACTACAAATTGGGGAGATTTCCAAGCAAAACTGGAAATATTTAGATAATACCCACAGAAGGCAATTCATGTTAGAGAAGGAAATGAAGGGGATATAGCTGGGGAAGTTTGATCTGAATTACAGTTCTGGTGTCACTTAAAGTATAAGACCCTGAGTAAATCCTTACAAATGCCCTACTCCATACTTTCCCCTTGGTCATCTTTGCAGTCACCATCTTCTGAGGAACTGCAATACCAGATTCCTTCTGAACCAGGTTCAAAGGTTACTTTTTGAAAGGACATTACCTGGACCTTTGTCCAGACTGGTATGGTGGAAAGGGGAAGGCTTTCCACTCCAAGTTGACACATGCACTTTACTGTACCTGTCAGTGGTTTCTTAAACTCTTTTACTCGTATGAATTTCCTTCTCCTATGACTAATGCTGGATGCCAGAGCCTGTTAAGGAGCATTGCTTGTTGTTAGTGACCAGTGTTTAAGCTGCCTGTATGGACTTGAACATCCTGGAAGTGTTTTTTAAGAACAGCCATCCCTGTAAGGCCCATCCTTTTCCTCTTCCTTCCAAGAACAATAGGTTCAGTCTCTCCTCACGAACAGGGGGGACTTTTCAGGAAGGTGACAGGGTTCTTGCATATTGTTTTCACTGGGAAAACCACATCCTGCCACAGTCTTGTTGAAGGGTTCTCTATTATTTATTCTTCTTCACCCAGGATTTTGTTTGCTTTCAATGAGGTATGTCTGCAGACAGTTCAGGAGTGGTTACCTAGCTGCAGGCTATGCAAGACTGACAAGAACAAAGACCTAAATTAAATAAACCCCTTGTAACTACATGTAACACCCTTATCAGGTCATGGTAGTTGCATCCCAGAAGGCAAAAACTGTACATCCCAGTGGCAGGGTTGGAAGAAAATCATATGTTTAGAGGAAACAGATTTATTGTTTGGCCTCTTTAAGTTTTTCACGTACTGAAACATGTCCAGAACATCTCCAGGTACAAGTTCGTTCTACTTAGTAATTTAACTGTCTACGGCCTTTCTGGTATCTGGAATTAGTTTGCATCCAGTTTGACAGAAGTTCTCTTGGCTTCCTGAAGGTACTCTCACTTTAAGGACTTCTACCCTTCACTCTCTAGGAATTTTCTCCTCTGCCATGAGGAAAAGTCTTTCTCTCTACCCTTTGCAATCACAAAGGTCTTTTCCAATGACTGCATCTCAACACCTGTAGCCTCTTAAGTCTTTCTGAGCAGCGTAAGTAGAAATAGTGCTACAGGTCGCCAGCCAGGGTGGTTTAAACAGCAGTCCTGCTCCAGAAAGGTGCTGCATCTCCTTCTTACTGTTTTTCTTTTAATCTTGACATCGTTTGCCCTGAGAATAGTATGTGTTACCTCTTGACAGCTTATATAGTATATGTTAAGTCTAGGCAGTCTAATCAGGAGATCCTTCATTGTTTCACCCAAACGGTATCAGCTGTGGGAGACACTTCTCACAAAAACCTGCTCTGTCTGAAACAGAATGGATCATTATTGCCAGGCTGTAAGGAGTCAGTTTTGGACAGATGGGTGGGCAAAGAATTTTGTGGTATTTCGTATCAAATAGATCAATCCTGGAGTTATTAAAATTGAACTTCCAGTCTTCAAGGGGAAGATAAGTTTGAGTCCTGGTTTTCACAGTTCAGTTTTGGACCACAGGCCGTCCTGCCAGCACTACCAGTGCCTTAGAGTCAGCAGATAGTTATTTATGTTCTCATTGTTTTTCCTTGGAGTCCTGCTAAAAACCTCTCATCCCATCTTTGTTGCTTGGGGCAGGCAGTTGTCTTTTTTCCTTATTTTGAGAATAAGTTAATAGAACATAGAATAGCAACTTTAATATCAAAATGTCTTGCAGTACTTGCAGAGCCTTTTGGTTCCATCTTCACACTTTTGTTAGAACTGATGATAGAGAGCCATGATTTATGATAGCAGGAAGGGAGGATCTGCTTTGCTTCTCCTTTGTGGCAAATAATTTGTCAAGGGGCTTTTTGTTTTGTGTGTTTTCCTATTTAGTTGAATTCAGTTGTTTGGTTTTCTTCCAGATGAATTGAATATAATGGGCTGTTTAATTTCTTTATTTCCTTTTATTTCTTTGGATTTAAAAAACCCCAACCAAACAAAACAAGCCACAAACCAAAACAAGAGAGGTTCACAGAATTTTGGGAGATTGGAGTCAATCTAGCATTGTCCTGTGTGTCATGAAGGTTTACAAGAAGTGGTGTACCTTTTGCTTGAGTGTGAGTTGATAGGTTTTTGTCTCTAAAACCTCTGTGGTTTCATGACTGGACAGTCTGCTGTATATATCTTCTGCTTTTTTGGTGGAGGGAACACACAATAAATCTTGTCAAAGCTAAAACAGAGCTAGGCTTTGATGTGACCAAAGCTAATTTTGTTCCAGGATCTCCTCAAACAGTACACAGACTGATCTCTCCTCATTTTGAAAGGTTTGATATTAATCTACATCAGCATTTAGCTTCAGTGGAGAGCTGCTGTGTTTACTTTCTTGGGGAGAACATTCTCTTTTTCTAGTAAGTCTAGTAAGACTTTAGCTAATTGCAGAAGTAAGTGCATGTGTCGTCTTCCAAGTGTTCTGTTTTCCTGTGTTCTAGAACTCTCATTTATTTACTTGTTTTACTACAGAAGCAAGATTTAGCCTGACATTTTAAAGACATGACATCTTACTCTACTTAATGAGGTCCTCCTTTCACCTATTTACCTCCAGTCAGTTGGGTTTCCATCTTTTTGCAAAGCACAGGTGATAAAAATGAAAGAAGACAACAAAATATTCTCCTCTTTACTGTAGGCCGCTTTTAATCTTTTCAGGTAGAGCTCTACAATTGAGGTAACTGAAATGATAGTGGGAGCATTTGGCTTTATATGCCAGGCTTGGAGCTAAAGGAGAGGAGGAGTTTTTACCCATTTTATTAAAGAGGGGAAAATCATCTGTTCTCAACTGATACTTGCTGTTAGAATGTGTGTATTAAACATAATCTTGGAAAAATATATGGTCAGTGGCAAGTAACTTTTCCTTTTGAATAAGGAACACTTTCAGTGTTGGGGGAATGAGAAGGCTCTTTGAACTGATGATCTGTGTTTTCAGAACTTTGCAGTTCATTTGAACAGACTGTCATACTTGGTTTAAAACAATACTGAAATGGGGTCAGCGATCACCACTTCATATTTTAGTGGACTTCTGACTTTCCTTGAGGATGTTGTGGAGGTTTTCGTCTGTGTTGCCACAATATCACAGGAATTTGCCCCTTTATTTTCAGAACTGATGGAAACAAGACGTGATGGAAAGAAGATAAAACTTACTATTTTTTAAACTCTGAAATAGAACTGGTGTTCATCTGTGTGCGTACTGATGTGAGATTTAAACTGCTTAGGGCTCTGGCAGAGGCAGGGGAAAACAAGAATTGCCAAGTATGTGACCAAGCATGGAACTCAACACATTTCTGGAATTACAGCAATACACAGTCTATTGTTTTGCAGCATTTTTTGCTATTGGGAATGTAATTTTGAAAAGAACAAGATGAACTTGAAAGTAGGAATTTAACGTGATTAGTCAACACAGGAAATCTCGTGGTCTTGGAGGGTTCTGGGAGGATCTTGTTTAAAAACTCATGAGTAAAGTAAGCAAGGAGGAAACATTATTTAATGATTGACATAGAATCACAGTATCATTTTGGTTGGCAAAAGACCCGTAAGATCATTGAGTCCAACCTTTAACCTGACCCTGTTAAATCCACCATGAAACCATGTCCTTAAGCAGCACATCTACACATCTTTTAAATACCCCTAGGGATGGTGACTCCACCACTTCCCAAGGCAGCCTGTTCCAATGGTTGACAACTCTTCCAATAGAAACTATTCAGATGGAAATAGGAAAGTAATCCAGTTTAGTGTACCAGACTTAGTTTGGTCTTAAAATGTCAGTAGCGTGGGCTTGGTGGAAAGTACCAGAAAGGTAAGAAATTAGTCTTGCCAAGGTTTAAGACTTTTTTGTGGGGACAAATAAGAGGAATAAGAAATTGTGAATGGAAAAGATGGTGATAGTGAAGGTTTTTCAGTCTTGTAGTTAAGTCGTAACAGTGAATGCAAGTTGAAATAAAGCAAGTTCAGTCTTGAAAGTGGCTCATGAATTTATAGGATAATCTGTAGGAAGATGTCTTCACAGCCTGTGTGTCTGGTAATTATTTGGAATTTTTTAATAATTTTTTTGTAATTTGATGCCTTTTGGGACTAATCTAGGGTTGGCTTTTAGTTTGCTTTGTTTTTCTGGGTGTTTTTGGTTTGGGTTTTCTTAATATCCTTCCTCTTTTTCCAGCCCGTTTAGCCTTTGAGCATGGACTGCCCTACTGAAGTTGAGTGTGATTCACAGCCAGTATATGCCTAAAGCATACAAATGTACACGCTGAAGTACACTGGCCTCCTGTACTGGGGAAAATACCTCTTTGCACCACGGCCACAGGGTAGCCCTTGCACTGCGGATGATACAAGCACAAGTAGGGTGATTCGGTGTGTGGTCACAAGCACATAATAGACTGTTACTAGTGTGGAGGGCAGTAATAGCTGATTATTCCTCACCCCAATGCATAATGTAATTTCTGTGATCTTGTTGACCTGGGCTAGCTGAAAAGGAAGAGGCAGTGTTGTTGCATTGTTCCTGTGATAGGGCTGCTTAGCAGGGCTGCTTTGAGTGCAGAGTGATAAACAAGTTTAATGTGACTTCACTGCCAGAGTTTAAAAACATGTTTCCAAAACATCAGCTAACATGTTGTGAAGATGCAGTGAACTGTGTTCACAGGGTACCAAGTTAAGTAAGTTGTTGCTTCTGATCTTTTATCTGTTCTGTGAAAGAAGAGATACATGTTTACCTAGAAAGCAAGTACTGCATTTTTGGTACTTTAATAGTTGATTGTATTGTGCACTTCACATGCAGAAAGGAAGAAGTCTGGGCACCAGCACTCAAATCTAGTAGGCTGCTTCTGCATCTTTTATAGACAGTTATCAAGAGACATTTAGAATACTTGCATATCTTGGCAAGAAAAATGGACTTGGCACACTATTGGTCTCCATCACTGGAAAATTAAGTATTTGAGTAGGTGATTTAAGTATACAAGTATGAGCTCTGACTCCAGAACAGCTACTTACAAATGTAACTCTTTTGCCCTGACTTCTTGATGAATATAATTTCCTATTGAATTAAATAACCTTTCTTTTATTTTCCTAGAGGGAAATCCTTTTGTCCAAGCAATACCTTAACTTCTGTGCTAGATAAAGAAATGCAGAGCAGGCCTCTGGCTCCACCTCCTATTCCTCATTACAAACAAACAGATAAGTAAGGAATTTGTTTTTAAAACAGTGTTCTTCAGTTTTGTGCTGAGTTACTTGGGTGTTTCTGAGCTTCATAAAGATTAGGTAGTTGGGAAGAGAGGGCTGCTTTGTGGATGTTTTTCACCTTTAACTGTTCTGTGTGAAAGAGTAAGGTCTTACTTGCATAAGATGATTTATTTGGACAGGTAGTAAATGTATTTTTTCTTGTGTAGCTATGACTGCACAGTTGGCTAAAGGTGAACTACCATTTTTCTCAGGTAGTGAAAACTACTGAAGATGGGATATACAAGGTTTCTTGGTGAAGAGCCTAATAGAACAGGCTTTACTTTGTATGACCTGCCAGCTTTTCGGGTACCTGTAGTCCTCTCATAGTCATGAATTCTCTTAATGGATGGCTAATTCTTTACCTTTCATATATATTTTTTCCCCTCCAAGTTATTTCAGATTAGCATTTGAAGTCATGTTCTGTGCAGTACTGCTTGCAGAAGGAACAGCTTGATTTTGCAGTAGCTATTGCAATAGCTATTGGGTGTTTAGGGTGCTGCTGGAACACAAAGTAGGCTATTCTAAAGAGAAAATTTACGTTGTTTCAGAAGTAAGCATCTAGAGCAAAACACATGCCTAAAATGACTGCTTACAGTGTAAGTGTGAATGTTGAAAAGGTTGTTACTCCTCATTTCCACTTACTCCTCTGGGATCCCTGTCTTCAGTGACTATAATGGAACAATGGAACAGGCTTATGTGGCCAAATTAATTAAAAAAAGGGATTTAGCCATTCATTTTTAACTACTAGAAGTGAAATTGCTTTAGAAGTAATTCTACAAAATCTTCTGTCTTATGGGGAAAAAGGTCTTTACAGTGTTTGGCTTTGGTATTGCCATGTGTTTTTGTTACTCTTGCTTTTAAAAGCAAGCAGATTTGATCATCAGCTCACTCCAACTGTGTTTCTTTTCTCTTTCTTTTAAAAAGGCCTCTTGAACATTTAGTCTTCAGTACAGTATCATTTTTGTAATAAGTATTACTGGTTTTGGGGGTCTTTTCTGGTAAGTAACACCTAATATTCTTATAATTTCAGGACTACTGGAGACGGTGGTTTATCCAAACCATTAAAAGAAGAGCCGATAATTGACTACTTTGATGTCCAGGACTAAATTGGTTGCTGTAGAATTATGCTGTAGAAGCTTAGAGGTGAAGACACTAAGTTATTGTATGAGGCGCTTTTTGGTTTATCTGTCAAATGATCAGTTGTTCAGAATATTCATGATTATACATCTAAAGTTAGGTTGATTGTGATACTTTACAACGTTCTGCATTTTTACAGTTTATGTAACTGCATAATACCTAACAGTAGTACAGCTTTTTAAACCTGGGTTTGGTGCAATTTTCTATCTAATGTGCTGTCAGAGTGGTGCAGATTTCCATTGATGCCTTTTAAAGTGAGAGAACTGGTAGTCAAATACATTTTGGGAGTGGAAAGAACAAGAGTAAATCTCAAAAAGATTTATTTTGACTTATGTCACACAGCTTAAAATGGACCAGAAATAATCTGTGTTAAAAACACTGATGGGAATACTGCTAACGTGTTTTCTTATTTTATTAATTCACTTTTGTGTTAATGTGGTAAATTTAGGAATTTGGGAATTTGAGTTACTTTCCTGTACGGAAGGAAATACAAAGTTTACTCTAAGTATGAATATATTACACTAAATGCTCATTAAGTGCTCAGACTTCTCTGGTATCTAAAGATCCAGGACTTGGGAAAGGTGAGGAATTAAGTCTTGTTTTGCTTTATCTCAAAAACCTCACAACAAACCAACCCACCATCATTCCCTCTCGACCCCCAAAAAACCCCAACACAAGAAAACTGTTAATATTTTGTTATTCAAGATCTTGAACAAAATCATACTTTATATATTCTTTTGATGTTCTGTCTGGTTTGATTTGTATTTAGATATGTTAGCTTGATGGTCTTTGGGTTTTTTTTGCATGGTTTTACTGGGGGGTTGTATTTTTTTCTGTACTGTGCAAGCTTAAGGTGAATGTGTGAAGTTTGCTTTAAGTATGTTATGAATTTGGAACAGTATTTGTAAAAAATTTACAAGACCATCTGTCTTCAACTGTTTGACAACAGAAGATTTTTGTTTTATGGGAAATGCCATAAACAAAAGTGGATGATGGATTTGAACAGTGAAAGACACCAGAGTGGTCTCCTAGATGGTCAGTTGTTTACAAATGATAAGGTAGCTCTCTGGGAGAGGAGATCGTAGGTCTGGTCAGAAGAGGTGACTCAGCTCTCAATTTGAGAAGTATCTGTTCACTTAAGGGGTTTTGAATTGACACTGATGCAGTCTGTTTCTTGTTCCTTGTGGCTGGCTACAGGTAGCACTGGAGGCAAGTCCCCTGTGCAGCATCAGAGGGTGCTGCTAAAAGGGGCTTATAACGAAGAAACAGATTTAACAGAAGACTTGTCATCTGTTGTTTATTTTTCAGCTAGCTTACTACGGTGTGTGGGATCTGTTGCCAAGAAAATGGGAAGGCAGTTATCCATGCTTAGATTCCTTTATAGTTATCGCACAACCCTGAGCCTTAACTGTGAAGCGTTCTGTGGCTACGTTTCATCTTGAACAGCTTGTGAAACATGAAAGAATGAGCAGCAAACTCACAGACTGTATCTGTCCCCAGAATGTTTTGGAAATTAAAATGCATGCTGTAACTGCCTTTTTTTTGTTGGAGCTTTTTATTTCAGGCACGGAAAACAGGCAGTCGTAAATGTTTCTAAATATTTGAAACGCATATACTTCAGGTGAAGAACTTACCAGAAGGATTCTCAACCCTCAAGAGTTTCATTTACATGTAGTGGTTTAAATTGGTTTGACCTTTGTTTTCTTTTTTTTTTTTTGTAAACAGGAATGAAAAATAAACTAGCATAGCTTATATTGCCCTTAAATTCTTGAGCAAGTTAATGTCTGATTCTACAAAGTGCACTGCTTTGCTAAGTTCAGCTGAAGAAATTAAGTTGCTCAGCATCTTCCCAGGAATGTTTCCTCAGTCCCTTCCTTGTGAGGAGTGTTTTTCCAGTGTTTGCAGACAAGAGCCAGCTCAGGGTGGCCAGAAAAAGGCTAATTCTGATTTTGAAACTCAGAGCTATGTTAACATAGCACTGTTTTCAAGCTAGTATGATCTGTTAGGAAAAATGTAGATAGTTACACTGCAAAGGTAGTTCTAGACAGGAGCTGATGCAGTTGGTATACCACAGGTAGGCCTAACATTACAGAAAACCAAAGTGATTTAGTTGGTAGTAAATAGAATAAACCTGAAGCCTATTAACTTTTCACACAGCTTCACATAGCTAAAACTTGACATTTGTACCTGCGATTTGAAATTTAAAATGTTTTAATAGCATTATATTTAGCTCTGCTCCTTGGGATTTTATCATATGATGGCTTTAACATAAATATGTGAACCTTGGTGAGATGCACTTAAGCAGTCACATATTCTGCCACTGCTTTTGATCAGAAAACCCAGGTAATCTTCAGCTTCTCAAGGTGAGACTAACAGTTATTACCAAATCTGTTCATACTGAGAAATCATAATTTTTACCACTAAGCCTCTAAAGTACATGAATGTTAAAATATTTTTATAGATCTCTGTTAAACATCTCTGAATCATGTCTGTTAGAGTGTATCTGTAGATATGAAACAAGTCACATGTATAGAAACATTTATTTTGAAGTACATTTTAATAACTTGATTTAAAACATGATACCATCCATTTACCTAGGAAAGTAAAGCCAAAAAGAAAGTATTGACGTCTTTCCTCCCAGTACGCAGTTACATAGCCTTAAGAAGGAACTCAGCGAAGTTTAATGGTGGTGCTGTCCTCTCTGTTCTGGTTTGCTTTTGCTGCGGTGTATCTGTGAGTATAAAGGCTGTAGTTTTGATATCTGTGGTAACTCATCTTCGTATTGCACGTGTGCCTCATGGAAGTATTTTTCAAATAGCTATTTTGTAAATCTGAGCTGGCCTTTACACCTTTTATCTAACAGAAACATGAGTGGATAAAAGATACCTTTGCATCAGTAAAGTCAGTGGCAAAAATCCTGTTGACATCACCAGAAACAAGCCTTCAGCTTCGATATGCGTGTCACTTTTCCACAGCCCTAAGAATAATACTGTTTCTTGTACATTTATCTGAAAGAAACACTCTGCAATAAGCATCTTTGGAAACAAATTACGTGATGTCAGTTGGAATTCATGCAACTTCATGAAGTGCTTTTAAAATGGTGTATAAAATAGGCAGATCCTTTGGCATTTGGGCTGTGCTTTTGCCTATCTATATTGTTTAACATGTTTAAAGTGCTCTGAATATTCAGTGCTTGGGTTTAACCTAACATTGTGTAAGATGCTTAAGTAGTCTTCAATACCACTGTTTCTGTGGCAGTTTTGTACAGTACCTGCCGCATAATGAAATGAGCAAAGTAAAATTGTTCTAAACAACTTATTTGTTGGAAGTTTTATATTTTACTTGATTTTTTTCTTTTTCTTTCAAATGGCTGGTATAAAATTTCTTTATAAACGTGAAATAATTCCAGGTTGAAATTGCAGTGCTTTGGGAATTGTTTGGAAGCTTTGTCTTGGCGTTCCAAACTTGGAAGACTGAGGTATGACAGAGAAAGAAGTAAGGATGTAAATGGAAGTCTAGGAAGTCCTTTTCCTCAAATGAAGTACGATTTCCTGGATTTGAAGTGATTTTTAAATGAATGCTGTAAGAAGAATGAAGCATTTCTCCTTGGGAAATGGAGAATAAGGATTATCTGCTACCTTCTTGGAATTCAGAAGTACAGGAGAGGTGATTATCTGAATAGAAGTGTACATTTTGATTATCTGAAAAACCCTTTACTATGTCAGCCTAAATGCTACTTGGCAATAAAATGTATGATTTTAACTCATTGTCCCTTCATTGTTGTTTGCCCACCGTTCAGTTGTAATGGTGACTAAAGAAAAGTGCTATAGTGAGGGTGGTGGTGTAAGGAGTGATATCACTTACAGGCCCCTGCGGGCATTAGATTTAGTAGATTAGATGACAAACGTTATGGAGTGGTGATGAAAACTTTGCCAACACAGTTCAGTAGATGTCAGGGAGGCTCAAACACTTAGAAGTTTGAAATTACTTGAACTGCTTCCTCCTGAAACTTTTATAATACCAAGTAATGCATCTCCAACAGCAAAAGCCACAGAGACGAAGAACAGCAGCAAAAATTAGAGTGGTCTGACCTGGTGTGTCAGATGGAGTGCAAGATGGCTCAAAGAAATTCAGGAAATGATGTGAAACTAAAGAGTCCGTGAAAGACAACTGGAAACTCTGTGTCTTACTACCTCACCTGCCAGTAAGTTTGGATTTTCTTTTGGGAATATTTTGCAGGATAAGCACTGCAAACCAGATCTTCATTAGAAATCTGCCTGAAAAAAATACTTGCACTTCAATTCAGGACTGTCATTGACCAAGTGACCAAACATGTCATTGTTCCTGTGAGTGCAAATGGCAGCAGAAGAGACAAATCAGTTTGGCTTTCTGTTCACCTATCTTGTCTGTGTTTGGAAATAGTCATTCAAGTCACAACATAGTCAAAACAGTCCCTTACTAGGTTTTCAGGTATTTTAGACTTTGTCGGTGTTGAATTCCCTGCAGAAGCCTTGCTGCATAACAAATGCTGTTCTCAGCCTGTGCTAAAACGTTGAGTTCATAAGATGGTTGATGCGCAAATTTTTGTCTACACACTTATTACCTAACCATGAACCAGAGTATCGGGGACATTAAATAGGGTATCTTTAGGAGGATTGTATTTTGAATGCTCCTGAGCTCTAGACCAAGTATCTTAGTCTTTGTCATTTCAGGGTATTTGGAGCAAATAGTGCAGCTTCTTGAGCAAAGGCATGTTGTTGCTATCCTGAGAGAAGCCAGGTTCCAGTAGGATCCTGGGAGTCCTTTGGTGTTGACAGGACATTGTTGCAGGTAGCAACGTGGATCCTTTCAGCTTCCAGCCAAAGGGTAGGTGAGTGTGCCTTTATGTTCAGTGGGTAAAATCTGCTATATTTCCTTCTGGGGTAGGGTTATGGTATGGGTGAGGTGCCCTTCTCCAGTTTAGACTTGTTCTACCACCCCACGAGCTGATATTTCCAGCACTGTATTTCTTTTGAAGTCAGGGTGTCCAGGTTTACTCTTCTGTGGAAAAGAGAGGTGTCAGAAAATGGTGTTGCCACTGAAAGAATCTTTTTTTGGAGCACAGACCAAGGCCCAGCACCTTTGTGATGTTTCAGGCAATCCTCTATAAACTGGTTCAGGCTCCATCATTGTCTGACCTGCTGTTGCCTGCTCTGGAGCTCTCTTTTCAGAAATGGAGGGGAGGGCAAAACATTGTGTGTGAAGGGCAGCCAAAGCAGATCTCCACAACTTTACTTTTGGTGAAGTCACGGTCAGAAACTGACACAGAGTAAATGATTTGGGTTTCTACTGGATCTAATGGGTGCTTACTTCAGTGTCCACCCTTCTTGCTACATCCATATTTATTCCCTTAACATGTAGGAAATTAGTCAGAGGATGAGAGGGCTTCATTTGTAAAGAGCTGTAAGAAAGTAAACTAAACATTGCAATCACTGTGAAGAAAAACTCATCCTAATACAACACTTTTTCTATAGTAGGTAGGAACCAAAGATCTGTCTCTTTTAAAAGAGGGGCTAAGCTTACATGTTTTACTAGGGAGCATTCTGTACAAATCTCAGCTCCAGGAAATAAAAGGCTGTGGTGAAAACTGAGTAGTGGGATGTGTTTTATAGTTGCCTGTAAAACAATACAGTTGGAAAAGTACATTCTGCCGATTCAAGGCACCTAGAGAGCTTTTTCATTTTAACAAGCATTCAAGTTAGATACATCTTAACAGCGTTAATAAACACTGTTTCAGGAAGCATTAATTAAAGTCTTCAGTCAGTGCAGTAACTCCTGGGGTAAGTACTCATTTAGATTTCTATTTAAACTCAGTATGTTGGCATCAAATAAATAGGTGCCAAAGTTTCTAATAAAGTATGTGCCTGTGTGAGTGCTTAGGAAGGACAGTTCAGCAGCTTAAATCAACAGGTTATGCAGTTCTAATTAGATGCTATTGAAGTAGGCAGTGATTAAACAGGTATTGGATTGATGCCACCAAAATATCAATGAAATAACTCATTAATGAATTTTTATTTAAGGTGTATTTCTGGCAACTTGTATCACTCCTTAAATGCCTAATTATAATCTTACTTGTTAGCTAACATCTAAGTACCTACTAAGCAATGTATAGAATCACTAAGAAGTAGCTGATAAAACGTCTTATGAAATCAGTTTTCAGCCTAAATGCACACAAAGCCGTAGACGTAGAATGGAAGAGATGCAACTGTAGAGGCTGGAGCCTACTGTCTAGACAGCAGCTTCATGTAAAAGGGTGTGGAGGGAAGCAGGTGAAGGGAAGCGATGACTCCCTCTCTATGCAATACTTGTGAATGACTCCTGTAGTCCTGGGACCAGCTGTGGGCTTCCCAGTGCAAGAACGACCTGACTGGACTGAGTCAAACAGGACCACCAAGTTGAGGAGGAGGTAGGAGTTCATGACATACATGGAGGGGTTAGAGGCACTGGATCTGTGCAGCCTCAAGCACTGAGCTCTCCTGACAGATTAGCCCAGGAGATAGTGCACAGTGTGTTTGTTAGGTTAAGTACCAGAAGGCTTTCTGGTTTTAAGGTGGACAGGGTGCCAGGTAATAGAATGGAGTTCCATCCTCTCAAGGGATAGGAAAAAAAACAAAAGCAGTCTGTTCTGTCACAGTTTGCCACTTAGAGGGGAAGTTTTGTTCATTCTTAAGACCAGTAAGTATTAAGGGGACCAGTGAATTCTAGCTGATCATTACTTGTCCTCTCATTGTAGGTAGAGGTTTCATTCTGTTCTTGCAGAGCAGCCAGAAATGGCAGAATATATTCTCTGTTATGCTCTTTAAGATACTGTTTCTTTGGCTCAGCATCACCAGTGATACCTGTAGAACATGGCTTACAAAATATAGGAGTGTTTTGACTACTACTGGTAGGTCTATTAAGATTGAAGTTCTAAGGCCAGGCACAGTGGTTGCTCAACAGCTTATGCAGTCTTCAAAGCAGATGAGCTCAATGCTAGAATGTACAAATTTGAAAGCCTGCTTGTGTCACACATTGTCCCCATGACTTTCTATGTGCTGTTGCAGCATAGTAGGATTGTGGCTTGAGTGGTGACACTTACAGGCAGTCAATCTCTGCTAGCAGAAGAGACAGCTGTATTGTTTGGATAGACAGGGAGCCCCAGGACAAGTCTCTCACTTGTAGGACTGGAATGAGAGATGAGAGACAGTTGCACTCAACTAGCAATCCTGCAAAATGCTTTCGTTTTATGGCCAAGGGTACTAATATGAGGTAAAGTACCTGCTACTACAGTGATGTGGGCCACCTCTGGGCTGAAAAAGCCAGACCATGGCAGAAGGAGAGCTGTATGTTGTACAGAAGTCCTCAGTAGATGGTAGTGGGCAATCTAAACTTGAAGGGTTCTTGTAAGAGACCAAATGAGACAGGACCATGAACTGAATTTCAAGGTAGGTTTTAGTCAGAGAATGTGTGTTGTGGGGAAGCATCCTTCACCCACAGCTGTAGGAGTTTGCAGCCACCCGTAAGACTAGTGATTGTTGGGCTGGAAGCTTATATTCCTGTATCTGGGAACATAACATCTGTAAACAAAAGCAGAAGATTAAGAATGAAATAAAGACTGTACTGGCAGAGGGTGATTACTGTGGAAGCAGCAACACCCAGGCTTTGGATGCAGCCTACAGACTAATGGTTTTGGAGACCACAGCTAAGGATGGAAGACCAAGGGTACCAAATAAACCCAGCTGGGAGGCTTGCGGAGCTGAAGACCATGGTTATTGGGTACGGAGTAGACAAGGTGGAGGGTATAAAAGTGCTGCTGTTGCAGATAATTCTTGGCCCAGCAAACTAGAAAATAGTTACAACAAAGATTGTTCGTTAGTAAAGCTAAATGCAAAAGTGGTTATCATGTACATCGCTAGAAAGTGTTTATGGCATCCACAAGTACAAACTGCTTTTCTGAGTCTGCTGAGCAGTGGACATGAGCAGGACATCTCCTGTCCTGCTAGGGCAGAAGAGGATCCCCTGGAAGGGATGTCCTTGATACTACACTCACCCTATAGAACAAGAGGTTGTGCCCATCGTGAATATGTTTACAGTGAGCATGTCTGCCAGCACACCTGGGTTCTGAAGGGGACATTTGGAAGTGCAGTGTCTACACCCAAATGCAGCAGAGGAGGTGGAGCAGGAGGCACCTGTAGAGGATGTACAGCAATGGTTATAGTGCATCCAGGTGTTTGGAGCTAGGCAGTATGAAAGAGAATAAGATTTGTTAATTTAGGCCAGGTATCACTACAAGAATTAAATGTTTTAACCACTTACGTCAGCTGTTTGAACCTGGTGATTATGTTGAGCTCCATCTTGAAGCTGTTAGTATGCACAACCCTTTACAGTCTCCCACTATTACTTTAAGCAGCATAAAAACAGAGAGAAATTTAGACTGCATCAGTCTAAAATCTGACACTGCAGAGAGCTGAAAAAGTGCCTTGTAGCATTGCAAACATGGTGAAATCTCTGTTTCAGGAATACCATAGGAAAGGCATAGCTATAACACTGCCCTAAACTCCAGATAATCACAGCTGCAACTCTTCTCCCTCTCTTCCCTGCCCTCACTCAGGTCAAGGCTGCACCCATTCCCTAGCTTTTCCAGGTTTCGCATTCTCTGAACTAGGCAGGAAGTCACCCTTTTCTGTCCATTCAAGCCCAAACACATTGTACACAGTTATGGTAATTGGTTTCTCCCACTCTCT